CCCCCCCCCCCCCCCCCAGCATTTCATCAGGCCTCCCTGACAATTCGCCGGTACCCAATTTTTCTCCTCAGTGGAAAAATTTTCCACGATGAGGAGGCTCTGAAGGCATGTACATTGAACGCGTTAGTAAAATAACTGCATGGCAGAAAAATCGCTTTAGCAGTATTGCTGCTTTTGTTTTGGCATGAATAACCGTTTTGACTGGACCTGATACCGTGAAGTTCAGAGAGCCGCATTCACTTTAATTTGATTCGAACAGGTAAGTTGTCCACTAGCCAATCAGGATAAAGTTCAATAAACGAGCAACCAAACCACCAATGAACCGGCTACAAGTACTGTTTGCGGTTTAGTTTTCTGACGTCTGATTGGTCCACTTTTCTTTGAAACGCCAAACAGTCCACGAACATTGTTATAATTCTTATTTTAAACTGTGAAACAGTTTAAAATAAGAATAGAAAGAAACCCACGCATTTAGAATTCGTAGGAAAACGCATAAGGCTCGTATCACACAATGAATCTGTGTTACATTTTATGAAGCGCCTGCAATTTGCTCAGTGCAGTGAAAGAAAGCTTTCCGTAAAAACTAACTACTTTTATCAAAATGATCCACTCCACTAATGTAAACCCTTAAACAAGGCATAAAAATGATATGTTGACGTTATTTTTCCACTGTAAATGACTACTGTTTAGTAGCGGCAAAAGACAATAAGCCCTGATAACATTATTGACATGGCATGCTAAGGATGTTATCAGTGTTAAGAATGTTATCAGGACTTGGCGTGTTTTGCCGCCGCAAACCAGTTAACACTGGAAATCTCTCACAACTGACATCTTTCCCTCGACTACTCTGACGCTAGTTAAACAGACATGAAATCCTGTGAGAGTGAGGTATCAGATACAATCTCCTTGCCTTGTGTCAGGATACTTTTCAAGTATAGTACGACCATCCAGACTGCCGTACAGTGAATGGGTTGTTTGAGTCCCTCCGGACAAGTTATTTTCTCTGCCGATGCGCTGGCGTGAAATAGATAATTCACAGGACATCGACAGACTTGCGGTCTTGGATCCTTCGAACTCGAGGGGTTCAACTCCCCCTCTGTTGAAGAGGTGGCATTTTCTTTGAGCGCATAAAGCTACAGTTACTGTCAACATTAAAACAGGAGTAAATGACAAAATGTCGAGTGCTGTTGTGAAAAACCATTTGTCTTCCTGAGCAGCCGCATCAGAGTTATCAAACGGAATACTGAAGACGGAAATAAAACAAAGAGCGGTCAGGAGCGACACGTCCAAAATATTCATACAACTGTAACTGTTCCCCATTTCTTCCTCGTCACAGGCCTCCCTGTAAGGCCTTAGGAACGCGAATATCAGGAGATTCAAGATGCACACGATCGCCAGCAGTAGCTTTTTGACTGGACCCATGGGTACAAAAGTGTATATCAAAAGGATGCCCAACCGAGAAATGAAGTAAAAACCTGCACACCAACGATACCGATCTTTAAAACACCTTTGAAGAGTATCAAAGTATGGATTCCATTGGCTAAGATTCAGCACAGGGCGAAGATATTTGGTCAGGTAAGGTCGAAATATAAGGATCAAAGGGAACGGAATGACGAATACTGTGATGAACGCTAAGGCGGTGATTCCATAAAAGATATGTTTGCCATGGAAACACTCAATGTCACCATTATGGAAGACCACTGTCCTCGATTCAAATTTGGCAAAACGGAGGATGTTAAGGGAAATATTGGTAGTGTCCGTATAACAAAATACAAGGATGGTGCAGACACCGCGAAAAGGGGCTGTGACAAGTCTGCTGAGGCAACAGTTTGGAAACCTTCTGACGAATTTGGAAAGTAAAATGATCATCAGCATACAGAAGAGTGGAACGGTATACATCAACATCAACTTATCTACTTCGTCCAAACGTTCAGCGACACACAGATTGCCCCCAAATTCAACTTTCGCACTACTTAAAGAAATAAGGAATTCCGTGAAAGGATTAAACTCAAAGTTTTCCGGTGTTAACAGCTTCATAACATGGTATGAAAACAACCAAGCATTCAAGCAGCCAGTAAATGCGTCCAAATCTACGATTAGGATGAGCATCACAACTACGAGGAAAGAAATTCCAAACGGAATCAAAAGAAGCAAGTGCCAGTTTGTGCAACCCAATTTACAGCTGTCACCTCCCAGAGAGCTGCTGTAATTTTCCTTGCATTGTCCACACAAAATGCTCTCCTGATCGCGTCCTTCCCCGCACATGTGACTTTTAAGGTACCGGTACTCCTTGAGCTTTAGAAGGTCTGAATTACAATGTCCAGTCGGACAAACATAAGTCACGAATTTTCCATCCACCACTCCAGCCCAATATCCTTGCTTCACCCACACGGTTTTGCCGTCAGAATCACAACGCGAAATGCCTCTGGTCTCAGCTGTGGGCTTCATGCAGACACATGTTGATGTTTCAGGAGAAAAATGAAAGCCTGGATAGCAGGTTCTGAAAGCACCTTTGATTTCCACTTCTTGCTTTCCGCCAAAACAGCTGAGTACCACAGAGTAGTTGCTGCCTTGTTCTCCAACTAAACGGATGCCGCTAAGACTTGCATTGGTTATTCGAAACAAAGATGAGCGATCAAGACGTTTTCCCGATGGCGTAACTGACGTGATTACCACATCACAAGTGCCTTGAAGATGATTGTGAACTTCGTCAAGTACGCGAACAGTTGGGTTAAATACCTCCCCAGGGGCAACCACCCAGTCTGTTTGATTGTATTGGATGTCCACTGGGTCCGTTGCAATTTCAGCCAAATTGAGTTTAGTCTTATTAGCCATCTCTAGAATGGATTTGCCATCGTAGACGCAAACGTTTCTTAGCGTAGAAACAAAGATAGAATTTCCTCTGACGGCTTTGTTGTCTTTAAATATGACTGAAATATTCACATTATCAACAAATCGAAAGACGCAAGGAGAAGGCAATGGTTTTGAATTCATTATGCACAATGCGCCGCCTTCGTTTTCACAAGTGTTTTCTACGAAAGTGATGTTGGCATTTGGATAGGCAACGATTTCCGAAGATCCATATATTTTCAGTGCACCTCCATTGTATCCCAAGTTGTTGGCGAATTCTACATGGCCATACCCCAGCAAAGTTGATCCATCTAAAACTACCGCGGTCTTTTCATTTCGGCGAAAGTTAGTAGTGTCTTTGAAGATAAGAGGGACTCGTTCACTGTAAAGAGCCCCACTTTGCTTTGCATTGTTTGATTCAAACCGTGTGTCACCATCAATTTGAACACTAAATAGAACTCTCGATTCGAAATGGTCTTCAATCACGTGGTTTGAGAACAAATACATGGCTGCTCCCCAGTTCCCTGTGTTACTGTGCCAAGTGCATCGATGAAAGAAAAAGTGAATGGCAGAAGATTGTAAGTAATGCAATTGAATTAAAGTTCCATGCAGCGATACACCACCTCCCTCATCTGCCACGTTGTCTATAAACGAGCAGTTTGTAATGTTAAATACGATTAAAGTATTGTCATGGCTTTGCAAGTTCGCAATGTAAGCTCCGCCGCCATTCAACATTACCTTGTTACTCAAAAATATTGTGTCCGCAATTATGAATGAATGCTTTTCAGTATGGACATCCAGCTCCACGCGAAGACCTCCTCCGATTGACGCGCGATTATCCACAAACCTACATGCTGTAATATTTATAGTGGCATTTCTGCTATACTCTTTTAAGTACACTGACAAGCCGCTACCAAACTCCAATCTTCGATGTTGTAGTAGAGATTCTTGAGTCTTCACGTAGTTTGACACAAGTATTCCGTTCCTGGAAAAGGAGCAGTTATAAATCAAGTAATGGCTCTTGCCTTTGTAAGATGCGTGCTCAACTGGCGTTACATTCACTGCTGTATCCGAGTCCTCTCGGTTTAAAATCACTTTAACACCGCCTCCCAACCACAGTTTCCTCACTAAAGAGTCATGCTCAGTTGTTGCATTGGAATAGCTTTCCTTTGAACCCCTGTTGTCTGCAAACACACTGTTTATCAAACTAACGAAGGCTTCAACGTTAAACAAAGTAACCGCGTAATCTACAGAAAACGAAATTTCTACTTCGGAGATCCGGAGATTCGTGCATTTTTTCGCAAATAAGGCTGCCTTAAATTCACCAGAAAAAGGAGAACGGTGTGAAATATTGTGCAATCGGCCACACTTTTGTAACGTCACTCTCTCGAAATTAACCTTTTCGCACTGAATAAAGGAAAAGCCAGTGTTTACATTACATGTTATTTGAACATCGTGTCGAGTGGAACCACTTCCTACCAGGCTGAAGTATGCTTTTCTGGTCAAAGTAAAGTTTCTCTTCAAGGTGTAATTTCCACTTCCCAAGTTTATTTTCGATGAAGTAAACGATAAAGATAATGATAAGCCCTTGTCAATTGTCTTGCACGGGTTATTTTCATCACAGTCGCCGGAATCATTTCCGCCAGGCCAAACATAAATTTCCTTTACAGCAACGTTCACCTCCCAAAGCAAAAGTATTAGGATGCTTCCCAAACAAAATGGATGATAGAGCATTCTCTCAAAATGATTATCAGTTTGGAGAAACAATTATCCTTTTCAACAGCTTGAAAGACCAGTCGATGCCGACTAAGAAAAAGGTTTCAACCAAAATGGTGTGAGAATCATGTGAGTTAACGTGATATGTTAAGGGGTTATGTGTATGCACTTTGTATACGAGTCAGGTAGTTTTGTATAAAGTAAGCGTCAATGAAAACACGATCATTTTCATTAAAAGAAACATATATTTCCTCGCTAAAGAAGAGTGCACTCTGAAGTACAAGTACAGAACCTGTACGAAATAGCCGCAAAAGCATCTTTTCTGGAGTGTTTTCCAAATCAGAACTGTCAGTTCTTTTTTGAAAATTAATCACGCTGTTTCTGAGAATTCTGACTTGTTTCTCTGTATCATATCATGTTATCGCATGTTTATATTTAGCTTTAGAAATAATCGAGATAGTACGCGCGCTCTCACTGGTCGATAGGCGTGTTGACGGAGAAGTATGCCAATAAACAATTAAAAAATCATTCGGGTAAAAATTTGTTGAACTTGGTGTAGAAAAAAATTGTTAATAACTAAAAAATTCGATTTGCTCAACGAAAGTCGAACATCCTCAACATAATGCGTGGATATTTAATGGCATATCTCACTTATTCCCAAACATTGATGCTTCACAGATACACACATACTGTTAAGCACGACCTGCAAGTCTTGAAATCATGCGATTTTCTCGTGAGCGCCATTCCTGTCACGTGAAGTTAGGCTTTTCTTCAAAAGTTTACAGAATAAAAATAAATAATTTACAACCATCCCTTTCAAAATGTGTGCAGATCGCGAGCACTAACCACGACAAATATCTTTCCATTAGAGTTAAGAGAAAGGATTCCTAAAAATTTGTTATGTTAAACTTTGCAGATCAGAGAAGAAATCAAGGTTACGAATTACACTTTAGTAGTAAAAGCATTGAATGTTTTTTTTATACATAATCCTAAACAATAATATTTGTATAATTGGAAAAATATTTAATTTCAAAGGTTCTTCCGTATCAGAGCAATAGATTGTATGCAAAACTCAAGACTTTTCCAATACTTTAATACCATGAGGGTCATTTAATAAGCATTAAATTGTCTAAACCCATAATATTAAGAAATAAGACCAGAGTGCACTGCAAACTCACGGTTACTGCAATGCAATACATGAATTTAAAGAAAGCGACAAAACTTTTAAGTCTGTACTACATGTTTCGACAGAAACTTCTCTCTCATCTTCAGTTAATTAATGTACAAAGCGTTGGAAGTTGAATTATACAGTAAGTAGAACAATGCTAATTATAATAAATGGTGACAACAAGAAAAGAGGTATAGCATGAAAGTGTGAGAATTAAAAGGACAATTTTAGATTTACATGGTTGCTTCAAGGATGGTTGTTCTCTTTGAATATGAATAGCCTCTTTTATCTTGAGTTGAAAACCGGTAGAGGCGTGATCCAAAACATGGAAGCTATCTGCTGAACACAAAACGCGACAATGCGCAGAATCTTGCAGATACTTGAAAATGTGAGAGGCCCTGTCACTGACTAAGTGCTCTCTAACACGTGTGCACGGCACGTTTCACCGACGTAACAAGCATTACAGCCAGCACATACAAACTCATAAACCACACGTGAACGCCGAGCCCGACAGACAAACTTATAAATTACACGTGAACGGAGCCTGTCCATACATACAATCACTACCCAGGCCTGTTCATTACAGGATGATAAGGGTTCTAAAAATGCGGACATACATTTTACCTGCGGCAGTTCTCAGTTTAGACACAAAGGCTTTGTACTTACCACAAATATAAACAGGGCTCCCATTAACACAGATACCACAATGAACTGCAGTAAACCAAGAAGGAATATCCAGCTGAATCCATACAAGTGAAGCATTACGATTGCAAAGTACACTGTGATGAAACTACACCAAGCCACACATGACACAAAGATGAAGAACGGACCCCTGAAAACAAACAACCACACCAAACTGCTGCAGGGTTCATATAATGCCTCATTTACACGAGCAACAAATCCGATATATAGCAGAAGTGAAATAGCTATTGGTTCTATATGCTTGTGTCCGTTGTAAAATCCATTCAAAGGGCACCTCTATCCAGGGGACACAAAGGGAGGTTGTGAAAGTGCCTCTGAAATGATAATTCATTAATTTTGCCCTCAGTGACCGATGGGAAGCAAGCTCTTCCTGCCAGACAAACAACATTATAGAACGCCAGTGGTTTCACAGGTAATTGTACACTTGCACGTAAATTGTCTTGGGTTTCACTGAACCCTACCATGTTTTCTATTGCCAACCTGGGTCTCTTTTGGTTCACTTCTTCGCTGTTTGTTTCTAGTTTCTGACCAAGAAACCCTTGCAAGGAAACTCTCATTGATACAGAGAACGACTCATAAGAAAAACAAAATAGAGTGTGCTGAAGAGGCAATCAAAATGTTATTTACCTGTTATTGAGGCCAACACAGTTATTGATATAAGGACAGTGGTGATCAAAATGCTTGACACAGCGGTTACAAATCCTACAATGCTTTGCACGCAGTGGTCGCACCAGTCTACAAGTGTGACAGAGGTTTTCCAAAGGGTTTTGTCCTGTCCTGACCTGCCACTCTTCATAGAACGGCACCTATAATGATCAAAACAAAATCAATAGAGTACTTAGTCCCTTAGAGGACGGCAAAGGAGGTTGCCATGTTAATTACACAAAACTCATATCCTACAGACATGCCATGATATTCTCACCTGTTTCAGGGCCATGTCATAATCTGGACTATGGCAGGGGAGGAATCCTGGGTCACGAGAATTAGCATAATATAAAGCCCACCACATTGTAATGTTTAGGAAAATAAACAAATAATGAGCCCAAGGTAGGATATCCCATGAGACTGGAACAACCTGCAGACAAACAGAAAAATCAATGATAGACATGTGCCAAGTAGCTACTTTAGCCAGAGCTGATCCTAGTTTCAGTCTCATTAAGAAAGTAGCAACATCGTAATATTGCACTCCCCCATGTATAAGCTGCTGATCAACTGCAGGTAACCCTTGCCCTTCCCTCACCCCCTCCCCCCACCCAGAAATGTAGTGATGTTCCCTTCACTGTTGACCAGTACTTTCATGTCTATACAGCTAATTCAGTCTAACACTACTATAATATTTATCAACTGTTGTTATTTCATGAGCATGTGACTATTTTGAGTACCAATTTTCTAACTTCTTGTGCATTTCTGTTCTCTTTTCTATCACTGTAATGATTTCATATATCAAAACTTTCTAGTAAGTGTCTTGTCATTTAATCCTTTAACTCCCAAAAGTGATGAACATGTAACTTCTCCCTGAAATATCCATACATCATCCAGCAAATGAGAATACTCAACCTTATCTTGATCTAACACTAGATTCTCATAAATAAGGAAATGTCTACCAGACCCTGGGAGTTAAAGGGTTAAGACAACACAAGGAGGTTTCACTGGGACCACTCAGTCTCCAGTTCAGCTTACTAACTATTGAGGTTCTGTTACAATCCCTCCCACACACAGAAAAATGAGTATAAAACAATGTCCTTCTTTCATACCCTTTCACAATCTACTTACATAAAAGAAATAAACAGGATAGCCCCAGAGAAACAGATTTCCCAGATAAAATAGCAATGCTCCTCTAGATCTCCCAGGTGGGCCAAACACAATGTCCCTAAAAGAAAATCAAATTCGTGTTAAAGTTACTAGAAGTTAATTTGCTTGGCACCAAACATAATGACAACATAATGACCAGCTCTCAGTTGGCTTGTTAGCTCAGTCAGTAGAGCACAGCACTAGTGTCATAGAGGTCATGGGTTTAACTCCCTTACAGGCCTGACTTTTTTCAGGCTTTATTTTCACTACTGCTTATTACGTAGTGTAAATCATTACTGTGAAGATCACTCTCATATTCAAACACAATAGAGCTGCTGTGTTTATGTACCTGTGGAATACTGGACATTTACTTTCAAAAATGGCTCAAACATTTTGAATATTTTCTCCACACAGTAACAAACTCTAGATGGTTGATAAAAATCTAAGGAAACCCACTTAAGAGTGTCAGTATAAAACTGCAAGAAAACACACATACCTAATATGGCAGGAGACCAGACGATTAAGTTTACTTTGTAAGTAGTGAACAATTTCCTTGTGGTCTCGACCCATGGCCAGTCTTAATGGTGTCTTGTTATTACTATCTACAGCATCTAACACAACATCCTGGGGCAAAAAGAGAAAGCAAATACAACAAATTGGCATTTAATTGTAAAAAAGATCTCTAAAAATGGTGCCATTAGTGTTTCAGTAATTGCCATCCTGAGCTGCAAGAATTGTATGAGAAGATTTACCAATATTAAAACCTAATATTAATAGTAAGATTAATAATGATAATTGAACTGAGTGGAGTGCAATTCAGGCTTAAATCATACACATGATTTCAAAATTGATCGAGCATGCAGCGCGAGTTTGATTTGAAATCACAAGTATGATTTCTGACCAAAATTGCACAACACGAGGTATTTATTACATCCATTTTGAAATCGCCCAAATACAGGACTTGGTCACTTCAAATATTTTATTGATGCAGTACTGAGCCGGTTTGAAATTAAATTCATCTACTTTTTGGGGGGAAAAAGTAAGAGTTTTGGAAACAAAAGTAGCAAAATTTGCCATACAATACTCTTTGTCTCTTATTTTCCTGCAATTTGATTGGTTAATTTAAACAAGCCTTGAAATCTGATTGGTTATTTTGTTTTTAGTCTGGCCTGCTAATTGGCTGGGAAAAAGATGTGATTTAAAGCAAAAAATGGTGCAATTCGTGAATAAATTGCACCAATTAGAGCCAATCAGATTACAGGGACCACCAGTGATTTCAAAATGGGTGTAATAAATCTTTATAACATTTAAACCCTTTGACCCCTAAGAGTGACAAGCACCTAATTACTCCTAATAATATCAGACCTGAATCACTTTTTAAGGTCACAAGAATAAAGGAAAGGGTCACCAACTAAAGAAGCTCAAGTTTGAGTTTCATAAAAAGTAATTCTCCTTGTCAGCACTGTAGGAAATGTACAGGGAAAAGTGTGGAGAATATGAGTACTGATGTTAGGGTGTAAAAGATTACAAATTTTCTATAAATATTCCTAATGAATTTTAACCGCACACAATAAAATCAGTACCTAAACAAAAATTTGTGATAGACAGTATGTCTGAATAACAAGCTATATTCATTTCTTTAGATCAAGATATATGACAGGTGGCAGACTTACAGTAACCAAACAAACTTTCATGTGTTTTTAAAATTTACTGCATTTTCTTCTGTTTCTTAGGAAGAAGAGGTAATAAACTGATACAATGAACATAGCATAACTACAGTATAAGTTATAGCGTCTTAAGCTTGGGACAGCAGGGTTCGTCACATCCGGACCAACTTAAAATGAAAAATTTCTAGCCTTGGTAATTAGTTTTTGTTGTGAAGATTTGGCAGTTGATGATCCTGGCAAACATGTTTGAAAAAGCTCAGCATCATAACAACAAAAGAGTGATTACTTTGTTGTTATTTTATAAAGACTCTACTTCTTTCCAGATCATAACCAATTTCCTCAAATGTGATTGGTGCATTAGCTGCTTTAGTTTTCATTAATTATTCTTTAGAGTTGTAATTAGACAACATAAGCAGACAGTTGGCTGTAATCAGAAAACTTTAATTGCACTCTTCAGCAGCCAGTTGAACTAATTCTACTCAGCTAAAGCCACCAATCACAGAATTGACCAATAACCATAGCAAAAATCACTAACCCTACAAAATGGGGGAATTTATTACCTTAGACAATGTCTTTACTGGAGATATGTTCTCAGATGAATGTATTGTAATGTTATGATTAAATGGTAACAGGAATTTGTGTCGTCCAATTCTACCTGTAATCATACTTGTAATTAAAAATTGGACTCCTGCTGCACAGTCATCCAATTTACTAACTAATCACATGATTACAGACTTTACCTTTTACCAGAATAAACCAAACAAAACTCAGAGGCTATACATACAGTCATCAAATCAAGTTGGTGAAGCTTCATTAAATATTCAATGCCTACCATGTCGACAATGTGCTCAACTGTGAGTAGGTCTCCACTAAGACAAGCCAGATGAAGAGGGGTCTGAAATTGTACCAAAGATTTGAAAAAGTCAGCTTGATATAAATATCCACAGATATCTCCTAATCATAACTTAACTGTAAAATGTCAACAATAGAGAAGTTAGTATTATACTGGTTTCAAACTTTAATATCGACAAAAGAGAAAGTAAATGGAAAATTGGTTCTAAAATTACAAGTTTTCCAAACCTCTTGCAAGTATTTCAAATTTGTCTCTCATTTATTCCAGCTCCATTTTTTGCAAAATAAATCTCAGACCAAATAATTTTAATAGTCTCAAAAAGATCAACAGAGAGAAATATCTTATTTCAGAAGCCCAACAGATCATTTGAAGAAAAGCAAGTCTGAAATTAAAATAAAATGAATGTTGAATTCACTTTATATTTCAAAAGTGGTTAAACCAGCCTATCAATTATGAAGAAAGGAATTCAATGAAAAAGGAAATAAATTTTCTGTCCCTGATCTTCCTATACACATGTTTTGTTTGTAAGTATCAGCTATGGAATGTTGTCACATCAATTGGCTATTAGTTTAAGCTTCTTTGGACTTTTTTACAGCAATCTGGCTTCTCAAGCACTTTGTGATACAGAATAAGATAACAAAAACAATATGAGAAACATTAATGTGGACATAATTTTCTTGATCAGATGTTCCAGAGGAAGTTGCCATTCATGTAACAGGTTAAGCCAATTATGTCATTCTAACTATTTAACTTATTATCACTATTTTGATTGTCTCTCTGATTTGTTAAAGCTTATGTCTCTACATGGCTAATATCAATCCAAATCACTGTAAGAGAGAATATAATTACTGTTATTTGCATGTAGGCATCAAATAACCAACAAGTTTTGAAATTGTCTCTTCTTATCTAATCCTTTTAATATGTAAATAATGATTTACCATCTGTGATTAAAAAGATGCATTTTTCTAGCCCATTGCTTTACTTTCAAACCCAGACTTATTAATTTTTCATGAATTTAATGCGTTAATGAGAAATTTTAAGAAATAACAATTAAGATTTCTCTCTCTTAGCCTCTCAAAAAATGAGATAACACACAATGAAAAGGGTGGATAATGATTAAAGATACCCCACGGTGAGAACCTCAATGAGGTGCTTGTGAATAATTGATCACAGACAAGAGGGAGAGAAGGATGTAAAAGACCATTTAAGTTAAAAATTAAAGATTTGGAGACATCAGAATAATGGATTTATTCAGAAACTTTCTGATAAATTTTCATTGCATTTCTCAAGGTCGATTCTCTCACAGCAGTGATGTGTTCCATCAAAGCGCTTGATAGAAACAGTGAATACCTCTCAGCTCTATCACTCATTGTAAACCAAGCTTAACAGCATAGAAAAAATCACAGTGTATGAACTGAAGAGAGATTGTACTCCAAATTGTCACATCGGCATACAAAATCCAGCCAGGGTCATTGTGTTGTGTAGCATTTCCCCAATGTCTCTTTCCACCAACTGAATACCAGTGATTGTTCAAGGAATTTTTTTAAATACTTGACAGTTACCTGGGAACCTGGGATGCCAAGAGCACTTACTCCAACAGAATAATGTAATTGTTTTTAGTATCTTTGTGTTAAATCTTTTAGAATTGAATGTTCAACAAATATAACCTAGTGGTTTCTCTTTCAGTCTATACAGGAAAGAATCCACGACCACTTTTTAGTGGGAATGTACTTGCCAAAAGAGTTAACTTAAAGTTTGTGTTTTGATACATGTATATGTAAAGTTTACCAAACATACCTGGCTAAACCTGTCTTTCTGTTTGGGATCAAACCCAGAATACAGAAGCAACTGGACTACCTCGCTGTGACCTGTGAATTTTACATACATGAAAACAAACAATGCACTTGGTATATTTTCAATTGTAAATTTTCTCAAACAGATTTACTGTCAAACACAGAAAACCATGAATACCTGAAGTATTTTGAAACATTTATCTTGTTATGACACATAAGATAACTATAAAACCATTAAATCAAGGCGTTTACAGCTTACATTTTTGTTTTCTCTTTTTATTCACCTGCAAGCATTTGATGACAAAATGTAATCATCAGCAAAAAATACAGTCATTCAGCATGCTTTATATTCTTATTGTGCATCCTGAGGAACTATGTATAAAACGGAAGCACAAGGATTGACATCTAATAAAAATGCCTGATAGAAATGTTACAAAAAAATTGGCTTATACATCACTATACAATAAAAAAGATGTGAGGCACTTGCCAAGTTTGAAGAGCACTAAGACCCTAGAGTAGTTAGTTTTGCTCTAAACTTCCAGCCCTCTTCAAAGCTTGGTGAACACACACTGATGCATGAACCAGTTGTTCACCATATTACAATTAATACAGAATAATTTGCTACCTTTAAAACAAGCCCAGTGCAAAGCATTGTCACCCTCATGATCTGTCAGAAATATCTTTGCTCCTTTCCCCATAAGGTATCCAGCCAGCATTGCTTTTCCATACTGTGCTGTAATAATTAAAGGAGTACAACCTTTGTTGTCGGTACAGTCTATTGAGGCCCCGTTTTGAAGAAGAAGATCCACACATAAAATATGACCATTGACACATGCCCAGTGAATTGGATAAGGTCCATAATCTGATCGACTCTGCTGATTTACTTCAACTCCACAATTTATAAAAAATTTTATAACTTCGCTGTAACCACCCAGGGCTGCCCAATGCAATGGCGTGTGTCCATGACTGTCATGTGTGCTCAGGATTTTCACACCATGCTGTGCAACAAGTTCCCTACACATTCTGGAATCTCTAGAAACAAACAAAAATGTTACATCAATGTCTAGTTTGTGAAATTTAAATGCAGAAGACAATACTAATTACAATAAATGATTGAATTAGATCAGGCTAGAGGTGGTGAAATTAATACCACCTGTCTAGTGTTTGATTTATAACCATATTGGAGACCTCTTGAGGGAAAGGGGTAACCAAAAAGAGAGGCACAGCTGAATCAAAAATGATTCTGATATGATGCATCATACTGAGTAACGACCCAATAAAAATTCACAATAGGATAGGCAGAGGACTGATCTAAGCTTTTTGACAGAGTAAAAAACATTACGACACTGGATTGGGAAACATGCATTGAATTTAGGTCATTAATTTAAATTTGACTCAAAGTTTTACCTATCCTCAACAATCTTATTTAAGCCACATTGTTAATGAAATGGTCATAAAAAGAGTTTAATTTGATAAAAAGAGAATGCTCTATAGACTCCATACTGTTAGGTTGATAAAAAAAAGGCTGTGAAATTATTCTGTGCACAGCACTACTTTGGAAAAAAAGCATCAAATTAGGTAGCTAAAAAATTCACTGCTACCTTTTGAAAACAGGTGTTAGTATAATATTTTTCCGTTCCTGTATTACACTGATCCGTCTGCAAGTGTTGCTTAGTCTCTTTTTTGTATAATTCCAAGTGTTAATTTACCTCGTATTTTATTTAACATGGCCTTTAACCCACTGACAAAGTCCACCCGTCTCTCAGAGTGAGAGCATGTCTGAACGCTACAGCTGATTACCGCTAAACCAACAAACTACTTAATTGTTTTCTTCTTCCACTTACCAGCTCGTATATCATATCTGCTACGTCTGATCTGTGTTAATTTACCACATTTCCAACCAGAGGTATCAAAAATTAAGATAAGCTATCGAGAACCGGAATTGAATTAAAACTTTTTGAGAGACTTAATTGTGTTAAAAGGCGATAAAAAGAGACTTTTGTATTAAAAAGGAATACACGATAAAATTTGTGGAAAGTCCTTTCTGAGTTACGTTTTGGAGGTTGGAAAAGAGGCATATAATTGAACAACGGCTACTCCTCTACTCACCCGCATTGTGCAGCTTCAAAGATATCAATCGGTTTACAATTCTCGTGGTTTTCACACTCCTTTGATTCTTTCTCATCGCCCGCCATGTTGGTAGTCCACCGACTCCACGACGACAGCCGACGGGAGCCGTGAAATATTCGGCTATCTTCGGAAGATTTATTTTAACTTTCCGAAGATCAAGCATGGAACTTCTGTCACTCGAGAGTCATGTGAGTGGTTATGAGAGAAAAACACTGACACTGCGTATGCGTATGATTCGAATGGAAGGAGAAAGTATGGCGGATCAACGAGATTTGGTGCATCTCAACCGCTTGAAATGCTTCAACGATGCTGTTTTTGCCATAGTATCGACCATTTTGATTCTTCCCATCCGCAAAATTCCAGAAAACTCTTCTAAAGACCTTGAAACTGAGCTGGATAAACGATGGAAGCAGCTTGTAGTGTATTTCATATCGTTTCTTGTTATTTGCTCTGTCTGGGAATCCCATGTGCACCGTTTTAAGATTCTTGCCCATGTAGACGATGTGTTAGTTTGGTTGAACCTAACCTCTCTCATGTTTACCTCGTTTTTACCGTTTGCGTGTGCACTGGAGGGAAATTATCCGACAAAATATCTTCCTTTAATGCTGATTTGCGCTGACATGTTGGTTGTAGAACTTCTCGAAGTGGCTATGATTTTCTATTCCTTTCACCATGACTACTTGCTGATAGACGAACTAAAAGACCTCTCTAAGGAACAACAGAAGGAAAGAAGAAACTATATGTTGGCGAAAAAACTTCTTAATCCAATGCTGTATATTTTGGCTGGATCTCTGAGTCTCGTCAATTCTGTTACTTCATGGGTTGTGATTTCTATCGTCATCATCACGCCCTGCATCCATCGTCTAATTGGCTTCATCTTTCGAAAATGCAAGTTTGTTCGCGTGGCTGGAGCAGATTTTGATCTTATGTTCGGTAACTACATCGACACAGAGAGGGTAGAATGTTTTAGTGATGGAGTATTCTCGATTGTCTCGACTCTGCTGGTATTGGACATCACAACAGAGAATTTGCCATCTGAAAACTGTGTCGAACAATTTGGAATCGATAGAGCTGTACTGAACATGTGGCCGAAGTTCTTGATATATGCAGCAAATTTCATTGTGATTGCTCTCTTGTGGTTTATCCATCACTCTCTCTTCCACTGCATCAAAAAAATGAATCAATTCATGTTGGTTTGCAACAACATTTCCTTGGCTTTCGTTGGTTTCTTTCCCTTTATTGTTGCCATTTTGAACAAGTTTGCTGACAAGCCTAGGAAACCTGATGACAGCACAAAGCTTGCTGTGCAGTGTGGCTCAGTGGTCATATTTATGGCAAGTATGTCTCAAGCTGTTGTATTTGTTGCTGCACTGTGGAAAGGTCCATCCCATTTGGAACCAAAGGTGAACCCAGCTGTTTCCAAAACGAGTCACAACTACTTGACTTTGAAACTTGCCATTTTACCTGTTATTAGTCTTGCAGCATACAGCATTGCAATTACAGCAAGTGCTTTAATAATTTATATTGCTTTCCATGCTGGTGCATTTGTAACTCCATTCTTGTTCTTAGCACTGAAATTCTGCTGGGGCCATAGGGAAGTGGGTGTTTTGAGACACGATGTTGCCATGGATCCTGACTTGGAGACCTGGGTACCTCCCCCTCACAGAAGTAGGTTGCGTCTTCAAAAGAATTTCATAGGTGACACCACTTTATCACAGTCATTAGCATGCTAAGAAAATTTAAATAGTTTCAGACTTAAGGTGGCCCAAAATAGTTTTGCTGTTTTTTGAAGCAAATTCTTTGTTAAATGTTTTCTACCCTATGTTTAAATAATTAGGTAATTAAGTATTATCAACTGAGTTAATAATACTAGATTACCCTGTTAAACTCACCCACCGATGCAGCACCTCAGTTTCTTTAAAAACTTACCCACCTTTATTTAAATAATTTAGTTTATATCACTCCAAAGGAAACAAAAGAAAAAGTGTTGATGCCACAATTCATTAAAGAATTGGTGTTCAAAAAAGTGGCACAACCATTTTGAGCAACCTTTAAATGACCTAAACTAGCCCTAAAGATTCAGATGCATGGAAAGGATGGTGTCTGAATCAAGGAGAAATACAGGAATATCACCTGTCAGATATTCTTAATAGTTCTCATTTACTTTTTTCTTTGTGAGATAATAATATTTTATGTTCAAGTTCATTACAGAGCTCTTGCAAAATACCCGGACATCTTGATCTGGAGTTTAGGTTAGTAATGAACAGGCCTTGGACCTCTCCATGCTGTTATTTATACCAATTCCTATTTAATTTTAGGAGGTAAGACTCCTGTGAGGTTTCATTTACAATTATGTTTTGCAAGCAAATTGTGTTGTTAAGGTTAAAAGATGTTTTGTAAGGGTAATGATGGTATACATAAATAAAGCATGTTTGTTTTGCAAACATTTTCCTCTCTCCAAAAGCAATTTTAAAATTGCAGCTATGTTAATTATGGAAATAGTATCTTCCCAATATTTTGTGATGTTGTGTCATCTCTAAGATCAAGAAAACTAGTGTAAACTTTTGGAGCAACGTGGTTTCCAAAGAGAAGTCAACTAAAATCTCACCCTTTTGTGAGTCCAATTCCATTCAACAATCTTTAACTAAATAGACTGTACCTTCTGTAGATACTTTATCTGACAGATTACTTTGCCTACTAATTTTAAGTATTGAGTGAACAAAATTTTTCGAAAGGTATTGTTAGTACCTGAATTAGAGAAATTATAAGTTTGCAAAATTTATTTTGCAAAGAAAGATAATGTATATTGCATGAGAGAAAAAGGAAAAATCATTATTTTGTAATAAAACACAGTTTAAACTAATTTAAGCCAATTGATACATAATGTTTAGAACCTAAGGCAGTTGAGATAGCTGTTTGCTTGAAAGGCAATAATAAATGCGTTTTCAAAAATCAACGTGAGTAGATTTTTACTTTACACTGAACAGTTTTAAAGGTCAATATCCTCTGGATGTTGGCCGTCACGCGATCCCCCCATCAACAACTATTGGAAGGGGAACGTTGCGTGACGCTAAACGCCGGAGGACTTTACCTTAATGCCCTAATTCCCTTAATGGAATCTGCATGACAAAAATAGTCAATTTATAGCAGAAGTCGAGCGTTTCCGACCACGAGTTCGATTCTGCGACGAATGGGACTCCAAAGATGCGGAGAGCGGTATTCTCCCACCATGTGATCTGCACGAAACATCTGGAAGAACCACAAACTATTTTAATTTCGCTTTGTGAGCTAACAGGAACTTAGAGATCATTTTAACAACGCGGAATTTATGTAGAATTGAGGGACATTTACGCTTTCATTTTCTGAACATATCCGCATTTGATAACGAAACTAATTGAAGCGATATGACAGAGGAATTGGATCTTCTCCATCTCAAGCGTTTGCAATGCTTCAACGATGCAGTATTTGCCATTGTGGCGACCATTTTAGTTCTACCTATCAGAAAACTCGAGGAGAATGCGACAGAAAGCTCCAGCCTTGCCGATCAACTTAGCGACAAATGGCCGCAGTTATTGATCTACCTTGTAGGATTCCTCGTAATTTGTGCCGTATGGGAATCGCATGTTGTGCGCTTCCGTATCTTGTCACGGCTCGATGATGTGCTAGTCTGGTTAAACCTTGGATCGTTGCTATTCACTTCGTTTCTCCCTTTCACGTGCGCTTTAGAGGGAATGTTTACCTACAAGTACCTTCCCATGATGTTGATCTGCGGAAACCTGCTCGTTCTCGAAATCCTGGAGGTGATCATGATCGTGTACGCCTTTCATCATCCACGGCTGCTGGACCCCGAGTTTGACAACCTCTCCCATCAAGAAATCAAACAAAGGATGAAGCTGATGCTGGTGAAGAAAGCTGTTAACCCCTTCCTATATATTTTAGCTGGTGCAGTTAGCTTGGCCAAGATAGAATTGGCCCTTATTGTTGTGGCGATTGTTGTCTTCTCTCCCTGCATTAATCGCCTCGCGGGTGTTATCTATCGCAAATGGACTCGTGTGCATCTAACTGGATCGGAGTTCGATCGCATGTTTGGGAATTTCATCGACAAAGAGAGAGTGGAGTTTTTCAGTGATGGACTTTTCGCGATTGTTTCCACTCTGTTGATCCTAGATATCACTGCTGAAGATTTTCCAACGGAAGAGGAAGTCAACCACCATGGCATCCAGAGCACACTCCTACACATGAAGTCGGAAATTTTCACGTATGGAGCGACGTTCGTGGTGGTCGCGCTTTTATGGTTCACGCACCACTCGCTATTTCACTACATTGAGAAACTGAATCAAGTCATGCTCGTTTGTAACAATATTTCCTTGGCCTTCGTGGGTCTTGCTCCTTTAATCAACGTAACGCTTAACCGTTATGCAGGGCATGGCAAACCCGATAGCCGTCTTGCAGTGCAAATCGGGGCGATAATTGTATTCATGGCCAGCACCAGTCAGGCTGTAGTGTTTGTGATCGCCTTATGCAAGGGTCCGAACTATCTAGTGGCGCGCGCGAATCCTAGCGTGGGATCTCGTACGCACGCGTATCTCGCGTTGAAGATGGCCATACTTCCACTGATAACGCTCGTGGTATATTTAGTAGCCGCGCTGTGCCAGCATGCTTCGCTCTCTGATGACGTGTATCACATCGCTGCAGGACTGACACCCATGATATTCATTCTCATGAAAATCGTGTTTTCCTGTTTCAAGGTTCACTGTAACTGCAGACAGTGGAGAAGGGGAACGGTGCGACAAGGCGATTCGGAATTTTACTTTTTTGCAGGAGGTGACTAAAAATAAAATGAAGTGCATAAGGGAAGAGAACAATTCCAAGAAACTTCAGGAACCAGAAATGCAGGACTAGATTTGTATTTCAAAGTGTCTTCTTTAATAGAGCGTGAATCCATGATGATCGAGAATATTTTGTGCATGACGCTACTGAGCATGATGTATTTACAACTTCGTAGTTTTCAAGTGGAAGCCGTATTCGTGCACGATAGCAATCTAACCATTAACAGCCATATATCAATATGCATATTCTCCTTACTGTTCTCTGTACATTTCGTGAGGTGTTGACAAGGAGAACTTATTTAACAATCAAGAGCTTCTTTAGCAGATGATCATTAAGTTTATTCTTGTCACCTTAATGCTTAATTCAGGGATGATTTGTAGGGAGAAATTAGATGCTAGTCACTCTCCAGGGTTAGGGGAGTTTCTCTCCTAGTAACATGTTAAGGTAATGATTCCAAACTAGTAAAAGATTAAGATCCTATATTCAAAATAATACTTTTTAATGTACTGCAAAATAAGGGAGGCACGTTTCTAAACAAACTGGTGCTGCGTCGGTGGAGGAGTATAACAAGAACATTTGGTTTTATCAACTGAGTTGATGATGTAACCTGGCCACCGTAAGGAGCTTCTGAGATGCCGTTTCGAGCGTTAGCCCTTCGTCAAAGCTCTGACAGTGTTGCTATTTACATTATCAACTCATTCGATAAAACTAACATTATCTTATTGCAAAATAAGATTTTATTATGTCTTTATATCTGAGAACTCCGCTCAGAAAACAGAAGCACGCCATTGGTAACGTTCAAACAATTCTTTATTGAAGACTTTTCATTTTAATAATAATATCTCAAATAAATCTTACTTTGACTTGCATCTAGAATTCTCGTAGAAGGTATGTCACTCTTGTGCAAACTCGACATCATAAATATCGAATTTCTTTTTAAAGGTCCTTTAAAAAAAGGATCTAAATATTTGATTTTGAAAATAATTCATTAAAAACCGTAGCTAATCTTCCTTTAACTATAAATATTGAAAAATACGTTTACAGTATGCAAAACGCTGCTGTACAATTGCACAGTATCTACACGAGTGATAGAATTTTATACAGTATGTATATTGTTTTACTTTACTTAAACACATAAAGGTATAAACGAGATACCAATAAAGAGGTAATTACAGCTTTCAGATTTTCCCTGACCTCCAAACGAGATATTTACAAGTTAATTTTACAACGTTAGAGTAGAGTTAAAGTTTTTTAAGTTAATCCAAGCGAAAAGTAACCAAACACAAGGAAGGAAATATTCAATAGTGGCAGTATAGGAACCCCTTTGAACTTAAGGCCACATTTGTTACAGCTGCTAAATGAACGTGTAAGCTTCCACTCCACCATTCTCAGATTCCTCATTTGCGTGTTTTTTTTTTGTTTTTGTTGTTTGTTTTTTTTTTTAATGAGCAACGATCTAGTATTCTTCTGGTCTTTAGCAGATTCTCGGTCAGATGTAAAGATCAAATAATAAGATCGAAAATGGCGAAAAGTGGCGGTAGAGGGGAAACCTAAAGGAGGAAAAACCCTCGCCTCTCCCCCAAACACGTTTTTTCCCTGGTCCCCCCTGTCCACGAGCCTGGCACAAACTAGCAGTTTCTCGATGTTTTCAAGCTATTTGTCTAGCAAATAACTAGCCAATGAGGGCCTATTCAATATTTTTTCTGGCCAATCAGATGGACCATTGAATTACAGAATCGTGGTTTAGATGAAGACGTCTGGCGCAGTTCTAAAATTTTACTTCGAGGCCACCCAACAGACATCTGCCCAGTCGCTGCACTCAAATTGCATAAAAAGTTTGCACAAAACTAAATCATTATCATGTGAAAAAGTAGGAACTTTTACAAGAATAAATCTGTGAATTCTTGTGCTTTTACTTCAACCCATCGTTCAAAGAAGGAGCACCATTCTGTTACAGCGGTTGTCGAGGCGCGTTTGATTGGCAAATTTGCTTAATCCGTCGTAGTGCAAACAATAATTAACAAGTCAAAACCAAGATAATTTAGTAAGTTAATCCACGTTTGGTTCTAGGTGCTACCTGTAATCGACGCGTGTGATCTAAGACAGCTTTCAGATCCGAAATGATCTTGAAACGTAAAATAACACTTCTTTATTCGTGGTTGAATCTGCGTAGGAAACGAATTTTTACGTTGTCCTTCTTAGATTTCTCCTCTAGAAAAGTGATGTCGCACATAGTTAGTTTCAATTGTATAAAGAACCGATACACAAAAGGCGAGTGAGAATCGTCGGTGACCTATCTTCTTATTAAGAACCTTTTAAAATATCAAGAGAATATCAAGAAAATATCTATTGTTGCTGTGATAAAAATAACCCAAGGAGTGAACATATATGATTTGTCCGCGGGCAACTCACCCACAATCCACGCACGCGTACCTTTCACTCCAAATCCTTTACGAGTACCACGCGAGCTTTTTTTGTTGTTAACTGCTTTTTTTTTCCATTAAGAAACCTACCACTTTGTTTCTGTGATTAAATTAGGGGTGTGTTTACGCCAGAGAAGCGGAGATTATTTCACCGAAAGCGCCTTCGAAGCACTGCTTCAGATCACGATATGAAACCACCAACACAGACTGTTCGTCTCGTGACATAAGGCAAACTTTCTCGTTTGTCCCTGCTTCTAGCTGGAAAATGAAACAATGAAATGAAGTATTAGAATGTAATGACAAGAGGGATTAGATTCGATAATATCATGTAAAACTGGAAAATCAGTCTAACTTAATTTTCAAAAGATGAAAGACAAACATTGTAAGAATTACAAAATCAAAACCGAAGTAATAACAAAAGCCCATCAGCCAATGAGAACGCAAAGTAAAAACTATCAAATTAATTGGAGTGCGGTGATAAAACTTTTAAGTTACCACAAACACCATCATCGTTTCCAAAAGAACTAACCTTGTTCAGACAGGCAACTATATGAGCCAAGTCTACCCATGGTGCACCATTTTCAGTGACTTGGTGGAACAAGTAGTCTCTAAACAGCTTCAAAAGATATCGGTCACCAGTCTCCGACCAACTTGGATCCATAGTGAATCTATAAAGTAATGGGCACGAGTCAGAGGGAAATCAAACGGGATCCATTGCCTAACATTACATTGCCGGTTTTTTTTTTTAATTTTCGTGGATTTTGCGAATACACATCGATCCTGAAGAAACATAGATGTCATATGACGAAAATGACGTATGACGAAATCAATCAGTCTGAAGGTGTTTACAGTGCAAGCAGAAACAATCAATACGAAGGCACAAAACATACTCTGGTCGTTCATTGATGATTCCAATCTTGCAGAGGATTCTGAAAAGGCGCCCGTTCTCCATTTCCTGATAAAAAGAAAAAAAATTATGTCGTTTAGCTTTGGCCATATGCGTTGAACATACAAATACCTAAAGACTAATAAAAATGTTAAATGTAAGGTTTAGATTGATTTAAGTTCGTCTATAACGATTTTGAACTCATGGTTGTGTGTCTTGAAAAATTCTGCAAAAATTTTTTCCAAATGCTCAAACGAAGATTCCCGAACATTTATATGCTGGTAATAAATTTTTATATTATTACCTTAGCCAGCTCGCCCTCTAAAACATCGCACTTGACTTGCGCAGCGTCTAATTGTGTGTAAAATCTGGCTCCGATCATCGGCATAATGTCATTCACGCTCTTCATGTGAGCTGCGATAGGACTGCCCAGAAGATAGCTGCCGGAGAGGGCAAAGTTTAGATTGAACAAAGACTTTCCAAAGCCGAGTAACAAAACAACATAAAGGTCTACTTCTGTAGTTTCTTCTGAGAGCTTAAGATAAATAAAAATTAGCTAACATCTTAACAGTATATCCCAGTTTCTAAAGAAAGAAGTAACCAGGAACACTGCTACTCCTCCATAGTGTGCAAGCCCACCGAAAGCAGCCCCACTCCATTTACACTCATGGGAGGATCGGAACACGTAGAGTGAAATGTCTAACCCGTGAACATAGCACAATAACATAGTCACCGGTCGTACCCAAACCTCTCGATTCGAAATCAAGCGCACTAACCACTAAGCTCCATGTCTCTCGCGGTAATGTACCAGAACAAATACGTATAAAATGATCTTCAAAGCTGGATTTAGTGTACTTTACATTTCCCTTCCACAAGTGTTGCTTTAAAAGGAACAACGACTGAACACTTACATAATAAGGTTTTTAAGATCTGAGGAGTAGTTCATGGCCATGTACTCCAACGACTGTTGAATATGTTCACGTTGCACAGCTTGAAGAGAGTAACACGCCAAGGCAAGGACTAGTTTACCAAGGGAAGTAAGATCCTCTTGCTGCGAAAGAAAATGAAGTATAAAGGAAAACGAGTAAGCTACAAAATTAATGTCCAAAGGTGAGAAATTTTGATGCTGCTATGCCATAAGACACAATGAAACAGGAACAAACGGACGCGATGCGATGGCGTGACACAGACACACAATCTGTTGTCAGGCGAGCAAGTAATTGTTACCAAGCGCATAAAGATCTCGGAAAATGCTGAGCAGGGTTTTTCATTTGCTTCTTTAAGGTTATAAGAAAAATAAGATTAACTCATGTTGGCTTGAACATATCACAGGAGTTAGGAAAAGGAGAACTTGCGAGCAAACTTTGATTTCAATTTAAGATTTGTGACGCAACATGAATTACTCCAAAATAACAAGTTTACCACGGATTTACACTTGTCACGGTACTTCCTTGCACTACGGGAGAATCAGGAACTCTTGCAAAACCTCTAGCACAAGCATTAGATTCAACCACATTAATGACGTACCTGGAAATGTGGAATCATAGCATTCGGGCTGTTACTTGCATCAAAACTGAGAACATCGAATATCCCACAACCATTTATTCTTAATCTGCCAAGAAAACAAAATGAACGTTAACATTTTAATTAAGTTCAAAAAGAGAAAGTCGAAAAGAACAGAACGCAACGCAAAACAAACAGTTGTACACTCACCTTGAATTTCCGATTAATAAAATCTTGGAAGGATCAATGACTCTACAGGCCAGTCCAGATGCATGAACAGATCTCAGTGCAGACGACAACTGAATAATGTAACTCCAAATCAACCGTTCAGGCATGGGACTGCGGTGACCTGGCCGGTGTCTGTTTAACATTCCGCCGGCACGAGGATGTGAGGGAAATACTAATGTACCATCGGGGTTCACGGGGAGATTGGAGTCTGGACCCGAAAAATGCCTCATAAGGAGTGTTTCGGCTCCAGGATGATAGTCGTACACGAAGACGAGAGCTGTGTGACGAATGAAGGTGGTTAATACGAGTCCTCGAAGCCGGAAAGCATTGATTCATTTCACACGCGCAAAGGTATAACTTCTCAATCAGTTCCTATTACTTATCTTAAATAATTTTTCAGTATAGATTCATGCCTGTTGAATGTTCGATTAAAGGCGAGTACGTGCTTTTAGATTGCCAGAATAGAGTCAGCTATGGTCATTTACAGGTGGAAAACACATAACCTGTTTTCAAACTAGGAATGATAAATAGAGACTTTCCAAGTCACTTCAAGTAGAAAAGGTCAGTTTCACCACTGAAGACAACAAGTCTGTTTCAGGGACTTCACAGGAGAATTAAATTGTTCAATGACATCGTTCCCTAAGATTGATAAAATACGTTATTTTCTCCTCTACACTTACAATTATCTCCAAAAGACTTTGTTGTAAACACTTCTCTGAGACTGACGAGATTTGAGTGGCTGACTTTCTTCCACTGATCCACAAGAGCCATGGACTTGGTATTTACAAGTCGAAAAGCTAAACCACAAGAAACACTCTATGTAAGAACAAACATGGGGAAACAAGGAAGCTGAATGACCCTATCACTGATGTACTGTCTGTCTGGCTGACTGACTGACAGACCAACCGACTAATTGTCTGTCTGGTTGACTCACTGACTTACAGAAAAAGTAAGTCTCAAAGGCTGAATAACTGACTCACTGACTAGTTGACTGAATGACATACTAAAAAAAATTTGGTTTCATCAACTGAGTTGATAATGTAAATTAGCCGCCGTAAAGAGTTTCAAAGCTGACGTTTTGAGCGTTAGCCCTTCGTCAGAGCGAGATATTTCGTCAAATAAATCAAATCATCTTGTTCTACTCCCCCACCAACCCAGCACTACAGTTTGTTTAGAAACTTTAACCCCCTCATTCATTTGACTGACATACTGTATAACGGAGTCTCCAAGTGACTGTCCGACTGGCCGAAGGACTGACTGGTTACCAGACTTCCTGACCCATAGACTGACTAGCTGACCAACTAACTAATGACTCTCAAACTGACTAACTGATTGACTAACTGTCTGTCTTACTGCCTCGGTTCATTATCAAACGTTTCAATATCCAGTCCACTTACAATGTATTCTTCTAAGTATGTAAATAAGTCCATCTTTAGAATTTGCGGCTTTGTAGCAGGTAGTCATATAACCAAACGTCCTTTGCGCCTTCAGGGAAAAAAATTAAAACACATAGTACATTAGCTAAAATATAACTGTCAGCTAAACACATTGTTATAAGACTTGCAAACTCAATAAAAGTGGAAAAATGAAATCTTATTCATCTTCTAACATCCATGAACACCTTTTTTTTTTACATCACTAAACATCTGCCAAGCACCAGAGCCTGCTGCAGATCTTGTTCTTCGTTAAACCCCCACCCCACCCCACCCATACCCCATTGAAAATAATTTAAACAAAGTAAAAGTTGGCCCAGCACATCCACTGAAAAAACCATTTTGGGAATCAACAAATTAATCACAACATGTCAAGTTAACTCTTCTTAATGCCATGATGTTTTCCATTTTATCTGCCTTCTATGTAACTAATTTTGGTAACCTCAGTTAATTTATAGGTTTTCTTTTTTTTTAAAGTCAAGTTTACTGAATTTACCTGCTCAGTTGGGGTATCCAAGGGTTCTATTGGACACAGGGTGTGGTAACTGTCAACCTCCTGTGGCACAGCTAACAATGATATGGTACAAGTACATTCATCAGCAAAAGAAATAATTCTTTTCAGAAAGTAAGTTATATATTTGACAAACATTCCATGGGCCATGGACATGAGATGAAGGATACCCAACATGATGAGTAGCCTCACAGACAATATGTGGGAGGCAGAGAAATATCATACTAATAACAACCAGAAAATACTTATGATGAAGAGCTAACTTCTGGCCTGGCATAGTATAGTTGCTCAAGTTCATGGTAGCTGCTCTACTCAAAACCTAGAATTGTACCATATCCACACATCCATATTGAAATTAATGATATCATTTTTGCATGCCAGTCCCTCCAAACCTGCTCTTTTTTTTATATTTCTACCACTAACATAACATTACAAGGCTGCTTCTTACTGTTATCATCTGGGTCAAGCTGTGCCATACTTAGTGTATGTTGGTGAATGAGTTCCTGAAAAATGAGAAGGGAAACATTCAGATTTTCAGACAAAACCACTTGATTTGCAAAAATGATTTTCTTAAGCCTGGTGTTCACTAAAAATGCATTCAGAGTTAGCTTTGAATCCTAAGAATGCTTACAGCCTGAAGAAAAGCTGAAAGTTGAAAACTCAAAGTCATAACTTTGATGAAATTTGAGTCACAAAAAAAAAACAGAACATGTCCTTTTTCTCTATAATGTCTGAGGCCCAAGATAATGCTGGTTCTCAGAACCTCCTTGTGCTCAAAGTGCAACAATCTAAAAGTTTTCTCTAGGTCAAAAGCAGCAGAGTTATATGCAGAATCAGTATTCTGCTTAGGATTTCCTGGTTTCATTTTCATTTGACAGTATCCCTCTGCATGTGAAAACCAGCACAACACAGAGCTTGAACCACTCAAACCAAAGGCTACCACATACTCACTAATGGTTACTAACCTGTCGAATTTGAGTTGACATGGAGAAAGAATTGTTCCGTGTTTGAGTGCTATGAAGATGTGCAAGGTGAGAAGGCTCTGACACATATGCCTGGTACGATGGGAAAAGCTAAAATAGACAAAATACACGTATTTCAGAAGGAAAAAACTATCTGCCACTTTTTCTTTAAGCATACAAGTACAAGTTTACTATCTCATATTAGTGATAAAGAGCATTCATGTTAGTAATCACAAAAGACATTACAATCTACATTTAAAACATGTTTTCCTGACAAGGACAACCAAATATAAAACAATATTTTTTCCATCAATTTAACAAGAGGTTTTTTTTTCAGTAAAAGTATAATTCTTACCACAGCAGGCTGCTGTTGTCCTTGTTGAGTGTAAAAGTAGGTTGTTCCACCAATGGATTCCATCTGCTGTGGAGCTGGAACATGTGCCTGGTTGTGTATTTGTGGCTGGGGGAGATTTTGGTTCTAAAGAAAACATAGAGGTTTAAAGAACTTTATTATTGTTGTTGTGAGAGCAAAGATCAACTCCAAACCTCTTTAGATGTGAGGGCTACAAGACTATTGCCCTTGGAAATTGTTCTTGTGGCCATTCTAGGAACATGCAGGAACTGTAGGTGAAATGTTGTTGCTGATAGGGTTTGCACTGAAACTATCCTCAAATTACATATAAAATTGCCAAAACATAGCAAAACATAAAAAATAAATGCATTCAAAATAAAACACTCACTGCAGCAGATGGTAAAAATTCAAATGCTTGTGACGTGATTGGATTGTGGTGTGCCTTTGGTGATCCAAGTGGTGGCTTGCTAGGAGAATGCAGTGGTGACACAGGACCTCCAGGTGCCAGGGATGAGGTAAATGCCTTCTTTGATGGGGAAAGAGGAGAGAGGTGCCCACCAAGGGAACCTGCAGGCATCTGAATAATGTAAAAAACAAGTTTAGTTACATGATCATGTTTGAACAAGTTATCACACCTCAAAAGAAGCTCAGCTAGCCACTACTATATACATGGTAATTTAGTGTTAACAACTGAGTTGAAAACGTAAATTAGCCACTGTAAAGGGTAAAAAAGCTGACATTTCATCATTAGCCCTTCATCATCCAGCACTCAGTTACATGATCATGTTTGAACAAGTTATCACACCTCAAAAGAAGTTCAGCTAACCACTACTATATACATGGTAATTTAGAGTTAAAAACTGAGTTGAAAATGTAAATTAACCACTGTAAAGGGTTAAAAAGCTGACGTTTTGTCGTTAGCCCTTCGTCGTCCATCGCTCTGACGAAGGGCTGACACTTGAAATGTCCGTTTTTTTTACCCTTTACAATGGCCAATTTACGTTTTCAACTCAGTGGTTAACACTGAATTACCTGCTATACTCTCCCACCAACGCAGCACCACAGTTTCTTTAGAAACTTACCCCTTTACTACCATATACAAGTCTGATTTCATGCTTGTATTTATAAAATATAAATCATACAAAGTCAGAAATTAAAGTTGCAAAAAATTTAATGATTATTATCACATATAAATACAAGCACAGTCAGAATTTTATGTGCATGTGTAAATAGCAGATATTTTAAAACATGAAAGTGTTGAAAGGAAAATGACCAATAAGATCACATGATTGGTGAAAAGTAATCCAAATTTGATGGATTATTTAAAAGAAGACTGAAAGAGGTGACATTTTCAGATGTTTTCCATCTAACAGCAGAGCCAACAATACATTACCTTGTTTGTTGAAATCGACAATTGTGCCAATAAGATCACATGACTGGTGAAAAGTAATCCAAATTTGATGGATTATTTAAAAGAAGACTGAAAGAGGTGACATTTTCAGATGTTTTCCATACAATACATTACCTTGTTTGTTGAAATCGACAACTGTGCCATGTTGCCAACAAAGTTGTCATGCAGACCAGTTGTGTTGCTTTTGAACCCTCCACTTCTGAGCCCCTTGGGACCAACAGGTCCGTTATTCATCATTGGACCATTATTTATAACATGTCCGTTATTGGCAGGCCCTGATTGGAAGAGAAGAAGAAGGAACTTCAGTCATGAAATTCCAATCATGAAATGTGGAAAGACAGATGATGTTAGGAATAGTCAGATTGCAGTTGTAGCATATTCAATGAGAGCAACTCATGATTTTCTCACAACTCTTATTTAACTACAATAATTTTATCAATTTTAACAGTTTCAGCCATTTCTAAATTTCTTCAATTTCAGTTCTATGTAAAGTGCATTACATTATATTCTTATATTTTGCATTTTTGAAGTACAATAAAGTTATTATTATTATTATCATTATTGTTACTACACTTACTGCTTATTTGCTGCTTACTTATTGTTACTACACTTTCAAGTAGAAGGATAATAAAAAGAAAGAAAATATCACTGAAGAAATTATTTGATTTGACAAAAACTTCTCAGATCTAAAACTTTTGTAAAGGTATTGCAGAAAATGAGGAAAATTGATTAAAAAAAAACAAAAGAAATAGTACAAAAGTGAGCACAATGAAAAAAATTCACACAAGCCCCCTATGATCTTCAGGTTTGTGTAACAGGTGCCTTTGAGTGTGATGAGCCTTTTTAATAATTTTATAATGGCTGATGTAGACAAATATTATGAACAAAAATATAGTTGTCAAGTCACATATGTCCTACTCAAAGTTCAGTTATCAACTGTAGTCTTCAATTTTAAGATCTCACACCACTTCAGTGAATACATTGTTTCTCGTGAGAGTACTCACTCAAAACTTTTTTACAAACTCAAAATAATAATTATAATAATAACAATAACAATAAAACTGGCACAGCCAGCTGTGAAAATATGTTCTTAAACCTGTACGATAGTAACTACAAAATTATTAACAGAACATATAAGCTATCTGTGACATTTTGGTTTAACCACACACGTTCATTGTTTTGAAAACGCAGACTGACGTAGATATAGACGTAAATGCACTTAGCTACTATGGTTCCATGACATAAAAAAGTTGTAAATCATTCACCACAACAATTCTACAAAGTTATGATCGAGTTTCTTCCTGTTCTTGAAACACAGTTCATTGCCTTGGGACATCTGCTTCTTCATTTAGACAGACCTCATTGCAGTACAACGCTACATAGTAATAGCGAAATTACTGAAAAATTGTGACATCTCTATTTACCTATCGCACTGATTTAGAATTCGTGTTTTTTCCCTAAGCTGTCCTATACCCAAAGTTTTATTAGTTAAAATTTGAATTTTTTTAATAGACTTTGGTAGTCAATTCCATTTTATTTTGAATCTTCTAAACAGACCTCAACATTGTTTGTTGTTCAAAATTGTGCCTGCAAAATTTGCCAAAGATACTTCACGATTCCACCTTCTAACCTTGCTAAATAACTAAAAATATATCTATCTACATTAAAATCACCTATAAAATATGCAAAGATCAAAAACGAATTTCCCTCGACCGTTGTTTGTAAATTATACGTACCCATTCGACCTTCGTTGGAAGAAGGCCTCGCATGAACAAACTGGCACTGATCGCCGTAGAAACAATATCCATTTGTATTGTAATAACGACATAACGTGGGCCTTGAGGATCTGTAACCAGTTGTTGAGTTTGAATGATTCATCACTTCACGATGATCGCGTTTTCAGATGATAATTCGCTGCTGAGACATTGTAAATAACCGACCTTCAGATTACCGCCGCCATTTTTGATCGGTTCGTCTTGCGTTACTTTCATAAACGTGTGCGCACGCATGTTGACTAGGTTCAAGTCTACCTCTCTCAAGAGTTCAAGTGCACAAGAACTCGGCATATCCGGACAGGTGTACTGTTGGAAAACAAACGCGAATATTACATATCATTCTCATGTCATTTCTTCAGTAAATATCTAGAACGTATATGAGCGCTTAAGTAATTTACAAGCTTCAATCTGTCTCAACATTTTAATTTGGTTGGATCTGAATTTCACTTTCTAGGTCTTAAGGATAAATTTCAACTGTACTGTACAGTTTTAATTTACAGAAACCGGACCAAACCTGAGTCTTGAAATAACTAAGGAGACATTTGCTGTCTTCGCTATGACTTTTGCAAATGGTTAGACATTCTAGCCCTCTCGGATGAGGAGGATAAACCGCAGGCCCCGTCTCCTGCATCTTCTGGTTAGCGGTGGACGTAAAAGAACCCACGCACTTCTAGCAAAGAGCAAGGTACGTTCGTCCCAACCTCTCCAAATATAGCATACATGAATTACGAAACAGTAGTTACTGGTGCACCAAAAGTGCTTTAGATACAAGGGTTAACTGAGGTAATGCTGAGCATGGAAATCTAAAAAAAGGGTGTGGCTCTGTTACACTCAGTAAACTGAAACAAGCTGGTCTTGCTGTGCTTGGGAATGCCAAGCACCTCACAACACTTTACATATGGCAGGTAAAGACAATTCAAAAACCAAAGTTATTAACATTTATTTATATTTTGTAAAATACTATTATTGACCCCTACAACAATTACAACCATTTATCACTTTATCGTCTTAATCAGATACTTGCTTTCAGCTCAATTTCCATTTTTTTTTCTTTTTTAAAAAAAATCTAAAAAACTACATACAATAACTGATTTTAGCAACAAACTTCAAGGCAGATTGGAACCAATAGTGGAATGAAATGACCACCGTTCAACATCTAAATGCATTATTACAAAAATATGTCTGCACAAAATTTTAACTTACATTTGTTCGACAATAATTGATCAAATTATCTTTCAGCTAGACTACCCTATTTCTGGATTATATATGTTCCCAAATTTCTATTTTTTTTTTTTAGTTCGTTATGATCAATTTTAGAGTGAGAATCTAATGGTAACTAATACGTTGCGACAATAAATTTAATCTACAAGGACAAATCCCCATTCACACAAAAATCAGAACCCCCTGTAAAGCAGCCAGTACAAAAAGGAAAAAAATTGAAAAACGATCGACGCTGACAACAAAAAATATTTCACCACCACTCAAAAGTCCATAGTGTCAATGAAAAGAGAAGACCTGTTAGTTTTCATTACATATAGAGACTATCAAAGTAAAATGACCTAATATCTTAACTTATTTAAATTACCATTTCATATTGTTATTATAAAACTCTTTATTAATTCGTAGACGATGTTGTTGTCATAAGAGAACTAAGCGTCGTCTGAAATGAAGGACATTTTCGTCAGTTTTACGGGGTCTCGAGAATTTTTTCGAGATGTTCGTCTGAATTGCTTGTTAGAAAAGCCGCCTTCTGGTTGGAGGTCTAACGAGTCATTAGGAGCCGTGTTCAGCATGGTGTAACCAGACGAGAAAGGATTCCTTGAACCTATTACACCTTCTTCAGCCTCAGGTTTCTTGTATCTGAAAAGAGAGTAGATCATTCTATCAGTGAACATCAAGGTTTCCACAAATTCCGTATCACTCGCGCGTTCATTCCGCATCATGGAAGCCGAAACTACTATAGAGGTTTGTCTCATATTATTTACACGTGACTATACATGACAACAGCCACCATTCAAGAAACGAGCCCAAGCTCCTTCCTGGTCCTCTCTCTCGGAATGATCGAAGACCAGACCCGAGAAAACAGCGGAAATCGAGCTTAACAACGGAACTAATCAATACAAAGGCGCGCGTAGTTTGTACCACATTTAGCACAAAGGTAAGGCCTCATTCCAAGGAAGGTTCAAAATATGTAATATAAATGAGGATTACTGACTTATCTTCCATGATCGGACACTTTGTACATAACTGAAACAGAACTAGGGCAAAAGCTTGGCGTGGTTTCTCGTCCCGTTCAAACTGGGCGTTTGCCAGAACAGGGCCTAGGACCAAAGCTCCCAATCGTAAAAATACGTTTGTGTAAATGAGTTTTCTTTAAAATTTTCAATGAACGAAACCTTAGTAATCCCCGAACACGAGACTCTAAACAATATCAAACCAAACTATAAAACTTACAATCTGAGCATCAAAGATGACCCAACAACAGATACAGAAGACGCTGCCATTGCAATACTTGCCATCCAAGGCTTCATAACGACGCCTAGAGGTTCAAACGCTCCAGCAGCTAACGGGATTCCAATCATGTTGTAGATGAGCGCGAAGCAGAAGTTGATGTAGATTCTTCGGACTGTAACCCGTGAGAGGTCGATAGCGACGGCTACATCCATGAGATCACTCTAAATAAACAATAAGGACAGCAACAGATGAGGTAAGCAATTGAAAAGAACTCGAGAGACATCTGAATATTGCTCAATGATCGTTATCTCCAGGATAATATATATGCCTATAATTGCCTATCGTGTACAGAAGTATTGGAGTAACTCCTTTCGTATGATTTAATTCTAAACCTTTGGACCAGAATGTAATACTTGCCTCTTGCTGCTTTAACTTTCCAAAGAAATCATATGAAAGAATTTGGTTTGGTAGCAACATAACTCTTCCAAACTGATACTTTCTCTTTCTTGGGTAATGTCTCGATATTGAGACGCAAAAAAAAAAATTAATCGCGGATTAAATTGGAAAGGGGTACAGTGAGAGTCGAGACAGCACACAGCCCAGTGACCTGGCCGGGGTATATTCTGATATTAAGTGATGTTTTGATTTTAAATGTAAGGCTCTTTCGGACATTGCATCTACCACGAAGTTATTCCATTTAAGAAATAGTTAAAAAATACTTTCCATAGCAATTACATGGAATGGAGAATAAAGACGCTGATCAAACAGTTACCTTAATTAAGACAACATCAGCTGCCTCCACAGCGACATCTGTACCAGTGCCGATAGCGATTCCAACATGAGCCTGTGCGAGGGCTGGTGAATCATTGACTCCGTCACCCACCATAGCTACGATAAAACCTTTGTCTTGAAGCGAACGAATTTTTTCCACTTTGTGTGAAGGAAGAACCTCTGCAAATACCTGCTGTATCCCAACCTGTGGTGAAACAAGGAAAATTTTAACCATGCAGCACTTCCAACTTACGTATGATGATGAATAAAACCGGATGTGCAGAGCGGCAAACGTAATATATCAGCTACTAATATTACAGAGCTGGAGACAGTTGTTTATTTGTCTCGTCACGAGTATGAGTTCCCATGAGGAATCGAACCTCAGGCCCTAGGATTCCACGCTCTGACGCTCCACCACGGAGTCAAAGAGACTCTGAAGTGAGCTGCGTCATTAGGAGGTTTACATGTGACCCACGTCTTGCATACTGCTGGGATCTGTAATTTCGAAACCGTCATGTGAAAGTGTGTAGATAGAATAAGAACGATAATGATTTTAAAGCTTGGTAAAGAAACAAAAACAGATGTTTATTCGTCTTATCACGAGCGAGGGACAAAGCGTTGTCTTATCTTATAAGTATGATGAATAGCAGTTTTTGTGTATGATGATAGGAATTTTCCTGAAAGGGTCGCTCACGATCAGCGTCAACGACCCAAAACGGCAAAGAAACAGAAATCAGGAAGTGTACAGCTCAACTACACTCCTAGGCGAAAATGAATGTTTCAGGTTGCTTTGGACATACGAAAGCGAGACAAATCATCTTGCAACTGACCTGCTTAGCGATGGCGAACGCCGTCTTCTTGTTGTCTCCAGTTAACAGCACTACTCTTATTCCCATTCTTTTCAGTGTCGCCACTGTTGCCTGAGCCTCCTGTTTCACTGTGTCAGCGACCGCCATCATTGCTACAAGAACACCTGAGGGAAAAAAATTCCGGCGAATCAGGATTGAAACTATGCGAAGTCGGAGGTTAAAATGTCAGCCCGGAGACTTATCTCGAGAGCGCTAGTGCACCCAGCGAGCTCGTGACTCTCAGAAATTTGCAAGAATGGTGCACTCGACGAGCTTTCTGTTCTGCCGAACAATCAGAAATTTGCACGACTGGAGCACCCGACGAGCTTTCTGTTCTGCCGAACGATCAGAAATTTGCACGACTGGTGTACTCGACGAGCTACTGATTCCTTATAACTACTCAAAAATTTGCTCGAAAATCAACACGAGCGAAATTTTTCCACCACTTAAGAGGTCACTGCGCAGTCGGAGAGAGTGTGCACTTCCGCCAACTAATCGGGCGACCTTTTCCTTTTCTCGAGTTCTTACCATTAATGCTGATGAGTACAGCGGTATGTCCTTTTTCTTCATGCTCTTGCATGGCATCTTCCATCTCATCAGTAACCTCTAAGCCGTTCTGTTGCATCCATTCTCTGTTACCAATAAGCACTTTGTATTTAGTGGGTTCTTTGGCAGCGTTACTTCCTTCCTTTGCTTGGCTCTCTGCTGTAGAAGGGGAACAGTTTTCAAATCATGATATGTTCACGAAAAAGATTATTACGCAATGCTTCAGAAACGACACGTATCCAAGCGGGTAAAGAATTGGTGAGCGAAGAAAAAGTAAAAATAAGAACAAACGGTTACAAGGCGACAATGTATTTGATGCCCTTCACTCCAGCTGTAATCCTTATTAACAAAGGTGAAGTTGAATAAAAAGGCTAAAACATAATGTACTCTTGCAGTAGGACTGAAATGCCAGGAGACTGTCACCGTGAAATAAAATTTGTTTTAGTGCGACGAAATACTGCAAACGGAAGTTCTCCTTCACTTGGGAATGTTCTGTATTGAGAATGATGCTTCTTTCACTGCCATTGCAATTTAGAAGGGAAAAAAATGGAATTAAGTTTTGGCGGAAAGAAGTGGCCCTTACACAGCCAATAAAGACTGACATCCAAGCTCGCTAGCAGCTGATTGCACAAGACCACTCGCTACCTCTGCTACAGTACTCTTTCACCACAAACTATTTCATGATATGACTATTTAATTAACTGATCAAAGGCCACCACTCCATCTTACTGGCAATTGGCCTTGAGCTGCGTAGGCTAGCCTTTTGTGTTTTTTCTTTGCGGCCACTTCTTTCTGCGTTTGATGTAGGAGTTACTGCAACCTTACCATTATCACTGCCACTGATGACTGATGTTGGATCAGCATCTGCACTCTCGTCAATCACAACTCCGCTAATCTTGACGGTCAGGTTTTTCCGGTTCTTGTCCGTAACAGTCTTGGGCTTAATGATGTCTTCGACACCGCTGACCGCACAGGTCAGACCGTACCCTGGCACTGCCTTGAACTCCGTACACTGACCCAAAGTTTCTGTCTGCAGCTCCTGTTGATGACATTATGGTCAGTAGTGGTACTAGTTGTGCTCTGATCCGAACTCTAGGCCAGCGGAGACACTCCATAGAGGGGTCATTCAAAACATCACAGTCGTCCCGCCCCCCACTTTTTCGAATCAGCAAATAAACATGCACAAATAACGGAACCAAGTCGATTGGTTACCTCAAGCAGAGGGCGCCTCTAACATATCCGTAAATATCTAACCCTCCAGTTTTGTAAATATGACTGAAGAAGATTTCGCACAAGCTGTCGACACTGTCACCGACAAAATATTTTTTTCAAAACTACCCTTGTGCGAACAGTTTAACTCCATGACCGGCTCCAAACCATTTGATGTACTCCGTAAACAATAAACAAGCTTAGTTAACAGTGCACTTCGGTCCAACATTGTTATTCCTGTGAGTTTCCCTTAGCGCCTATTTTTTGCCTTTGACATACTCAAGTTGTAGTTCTTGCTTCAGTTTTTACCCTTACCTGTTTGGCGTAATTGGTAATGGCTACGCCGATAGGATGTTCACTGTGATTTTCAGCAGTGCCTGTTAGCGCCAATAACATTTCCACGCTGCACTGGGCTGGTTTGACAAACAGCGCTGTCTTCACCACTTCAGGGGAGCCATGTGTCAAGGTGCCTGTCTTGTCAAACACTACAGCATTCACCTGCAAACAAAACGTTTTTCGACTGAGTTTCTCCAAACAAAAGCCAAATTGATCCCAACGGCCAATCTTCAAAGAGGTTTATATCGCAAGAAGCCAGTGAGAACTAAATGTAGAGATAAGCGTACTCCCTAAAGCGCGAGAAAGCACCTGCGCACAACTTGTCTGTTCTCACCTTGTGTGCGGTCTCTAGTGGTTCGCCTCCCTTAATCAGTATTCCATTCTGAGCTCCAATACCTGTACCCACCATAACAGCAGTAGGGGTGGCTAGACCAAGAGCGCAGGGACACGCAATGGCCAGCACAGTAATGCCAATCTGGAAGGCGAAAGCGAACACAAACTCTGTCTTATTATCCTGGTCCGGCTGTGGAAAAACAAGAACGGTGATAAGACACTTCTTTCAGAAAGACTCTCCTTCACACAGCATAGACCCACGTTTCTTTAAACAGTTGTAATACTCAAGAAAAAAAAGGACTTCTTTAAGCAGTACTAACGTTGAAAGTCTTTCTGAGCACTGTAATGTCAACAAATCCAATAATGAGCCAGATAACCCAGGTCACAATTGAGATCGTAACCACAGTGGGAACAAAATACGCTGATAACTTGTCGGCAAACTTCTGGATTGGAGCCTATAAATAAAAGAGAAATGAACCAAAGAGGTTAGATAATGTGACGAGGAAAAAGACAAAAAATAGGACATTGCAGGGAAGTAGAACCAATGACTACCCTTCTTCTTAACCAAAGAAGCTCCTAGGGCGTTTTTGGTGAGCTCGGTCATTTAGCAGGTCTCAATGTGACAAGCTAACAAAAGGCCAGAAAAAAACTCTCATTCACTTTATTCCGTCCTATACATAAAGACAACGAAAATTGAACTAACATAGAGTTTGGAATAAATTTAGTTTTCATACTTCTACGGCAGCTTCGCACGAAAATTACTTGCCTTCAAATCATTACAAAATTGTAAAATTTCCACCGTACCTTAGAGGTTTGTGCCTCCTCGACTAATTTCACAATCTGTGCAAGCGTAGTGTCCTGACCCACGTGGGTTGCCTCCACCAATAAGGAGCCGTTTTGGTTTATAGTTCCACCAATCACGGAGTCACCTGGTTTCTTGATGACAGGCATGGATTCACCCGTGATCAGAGATTCGTCAGCGGTGGATGTACCCTGAAGAACTTTGCAATCAACTGGTATTTTAGCTCCTGGAACAACCTGAAAATATGAGAACGAGCTTTATTTTCATATAGCATTAATTTATCGATCACATAAAGAGGAGTTGAAAATCTCACCAAACATCGGGAGTGAATTGATTTTTTTTTTCCAAGGACGTCCAGAAATAATTGCAAACAAGCATTACTATCAAGGTTTTATATAACTTTGGAAAACTGAGGTTTACTGAAACAACAACAAACCAGTTGCACTCAAGTCTGGTTAGTATTCAACTAGTCATCGATTAGGTGAAAGAATGACGGCCGGCCATAAGACAAGGACAGAGAACCTCGCACAAGGTTTTCAATGAATTTATTACCATCCACCTCTCTAGTAGAATTCTATTATGCAACAGTACAAATGTCTCTTAAGTAAAGGTTCTGATTACTTCTAGGGAAGACAAATTTCCTTTCACTAAGCTGAAAATCTGCCTTCAAAATGCAACAAGAGAAATGAGAAGTGTTAGAGCCTGTTTACCTTTAGTACATCTCCACGCTGGACCAGGTCAACATGAATGACTTTCTCACTGACTACGTTCATTGTTCCGGGTGCCAGCTGGACCAGCAGTGCATCCGAGGGTTGTAAAGACAGCAGTTTGGCCAGAGCCTCTGATGTCTTTCCTTTGGCGACATGCTCCATCCAGCGACCAAGTGAGATGAACACCAACAACATAGGTGGGGTGTCAAAGAACGTCATTGGACTGTGATTACTCTGTTCAGACATCGCCACGGCAACGACAATAATCTAGGAGAGAAATAATAAACAGAATGAGAAAGAGAAGGAAAGTTTCGAGGATATTTTTTCAATTCAACATTGTGATAAACTGTACCATTAGGTTTGTGAACATCACTAATCTTATAGCAGTTTTCTGGGAGATCTAAATTAAACTAATTCACATGTAATCAGATTAAAATTAAGTTTACTTTATGGAAGATCAGTACTTACAGAATAAACATAAGCTATTGATGTGGCCAACATAATCAGTACGTCCATGTTTGTGGTCCTGTGTTTAAGAGCCTTATAAGCTGTAACATAGAAGTACTGTCCACCAAAGATCTGCAAAGGTAGAATGTGGGTAATGTGAGACATGTTACGGATGTGCTGGTTCAGTTTTCCCTGCATGTCCTGAGCTTGCCTTTCTTAAGGACAAAGTGAAACACTGTGGGTTATGCGTGACATTAACTAGTAAACTTTGAAATGGATTGATCAACTGACTGAGAAATACTCGTTGATTTCCCGCTTAGGGTAGTCAAAGCGGCATTTTAATTTTTTTTTCCTTCTGGCTTCCGTATTTTCAGTGACATAAATTATTGGATAGAAAGTCTTAAAACAATCCATTAGTAGTTTATCATTGGTTATGGTGACAAGAGGATAAAGGGGTGACTTTTAACCCTTTTACTCCCGTGAGTGACCAAGACAGAATTTCTCCTTACAATATCAATACAATTTCAAGCAAACAAGTGATGAGAATAAAGAAAATATTTGTTATAAATTGATCCAATACCAAATTCTCCAAACTAACATCACAAGAACTGTATGGCAGACAGTAACGAGAATTACTAATGAGATCTTTGGGGATGAAAGGGTTAAAACAGACTGTGATGCTGCATCAGTGGGGGTATAGGAAGAAAATTTGGTGTTATCAACTACGTCGATAACGAAAAGAATCTCTAAAGCTGACAATTCGAGCATGGGCACTTCGTCAGAGTAAAGCCTCAGGGTAAAAGGTTACGCTTTGACGAATGGTTAACGGACAAAATGCCGGCTTTAGAAACTATTGACGGTGACCAATTTACATTAACAAATCAATTGATCATACCGAATTATACGGCGGCGATAAGTAATGGTTACACTGCGCTCACCTGAACTGGAGTACACAAGATAAACATTAACAAATTCTCCAAGGACAGTCCAGGTAGCACCATTTGGTTTGGTCTCTTCTCAAACTCATCCAGAATCACATATGTAATAAATATAATGAATGTTGGTACTCCAAAGATCAGGGAAAACAAAAATGAGCGTCTCCATCTAAAAGCAAGAAAAAATAAGTGTAAAATGTAAACAATGAATACAAAATGTCTAACTTGACCTTGGAAATTAACAATAATAGCATGGCGAGACAAAAAAACTCACCAACAATAGACAGAGGAAACCAAAAAAGACAAGGGATTGCTTAGGGTTAAGACGATAGGCTTGAAAATGTTTGCGCTACATGCAGCTCAAAGGTAAGGGAACCAAAAGATGAGTAGGCGACTAAGACTTGACGCAGACTAATCTTGACAGACGAGCAGACACATCTCTTCTCAGATGCGTCTGCTCGTAATGAGCGTGTAAGAGCTAGTCGATTGTTTTCTGTATAATAGAATGGTCATTGTTTATTTCAGTGGACATTGTGTTTTTGGGTAAAAACTGGTGGTTGAACTGCACCGAATGTCTGTCGATCGTCTGAAGTGTCTCTCGGCTGTATTTGTTTGTTCACCGCTATGGCCCAGTCAACTTAAAACAGTGTTTGCTCACCAGAAAATTTCATCAAGGTTCGCTTGCCACAAACAACGCAGTACCGATGGGCGTATCATAATTAAAAGAAAGAAGAATGTCTTTTAAAACTGATTGTTATGCGCTTAATAACATTCATGATATCATTTTCTCGGTGTTTGCTGTGACGCTACATTCAAACTCATTTCACTGTGGCCTCTCGCCAGCGCCCTGTGCTAAAAAAAAAAATTTTAAAATAAAAAAGTTTTCTTGATTGAAGAATCAAGAAGGTTTGATACAGTTTAATATATGAACTTTTCATAGAATGCTTAATGGAGCAGAGAAAAAATATTTTTTTTAGTACTTGCCGTGACAATTTTCAATAGATGCTTCAAATCTAAGCCTTACTTGCTTATTTCCTTTGAGTGATCTATCCTATCCTTTTTCTTGTCATCGTTGTCCATTGATGCACTAAAACCTAGAGACTCGATAGATTCAATAATGTCCCGTGGACCTGTTGTTTCTGTGTCGTACACAAATCGGCCACTGCTCGTTGCTAATGCAACTGATGCCTTCAGTATTCCTTTCCTTTTGGTGAGGTTTGATTCTATTAAATGAACACACGAGGAGCAAGTCATGCCTGTTATCTGCAACAAGAAGAGAAACAGGACATTATATCCCTCATATCACTGAACTAATATACAAGTTGTCAGAAGATAAATACAAATTAACACGGGTCTTTAAATGCACGCGCGCACGATGCAAAACTTGTCCTTTCATTCATAACGTCGAGAAAATATCGGGATCCAAGCGATCCATTAAGATCACTGATGACTTCACCTGTATCTCCACCAATGTCATTTAACTTGCTTTTATTGCAAAAAGTTGTATATCGACGAGACAGGAAGACGAATGACGACGATTCTGAGAACACCTTCACGACGTAGAAAAGGAACGACAAAGACGCATCCAAACCAGTTACTAGACACTTAGATCTCCCAAATAATTCTAAGCAATACAAGGCAGTCTGATGCCCTTCCTTACATCTAGGTAATTCGAAAAGCTGCAAAACTCCACAACAAAAATTCATCACTCAAAACAGCACTCTTAATCCCCAAGGAATCAACGAACGCTATTTAGTCAACCATGTCCCCACCAATAGCATAGCTCCATGTTTCTGAACATAAACCATACACAACCCACAATTCCTCTACTCGCTCTGGCAAAGGGCTTGCAAATACAATCAGAATACACTTACATTTATATCAACTGTACCCTCTCCCTGACTACCTTGATCCAAAAGTTCACAACCGTACCCCAAGCCCTTCACATAGTAGATTATTTCTTCTGGTGTGATCCTTTTCTTGTCAAATTTAACTTCTGCTTTCTGTGCTAACAGGCCAACAAGTACAGACTTTATTCCTGTGAAAAAGTTAAAATGTTTGTAAACAAAATCTTTATTTCAAAACAATCTAACAACATCATAAAAAGTCTTCTTCATTTAAAAACCCCACAATTTTACCAGAAATAGTGGCCTTTCAAAGCAGTTATTAGCATCTCAATTCTCCTCACAGTATTACTACCAAATCAAACATAAAGGTTAGGAGAAGAAAGGAAATAATCATCCTCTAAAGAAGCTAATGATTATTAAACCAATTATCCTTGATAATACCTTTGAAATGCATATAGAGCAGTATGGAGAGTATGCATCCTGATCTTAGGGAGTCAGGGCTCAAGATAATATCATTGGAGTTGGCTCACCTTTCTTCTTCATAAGTCCTTTCTCGATGCTTCCCACACAAGATGCACATGTCATGCCTGTAATGAGCAGATAAATCTTCTCTACATCTTCTTCACCCAGTGATTCTCTGCTTCTCACAGTTTCCATGTTACTAAATGTCACCTCCCAATCACCAGCCAAATCATGATTGACAGCCTTAGCACCCTCTTCATTCTTTGATCTCTCACCATCTGACAACAAACCAAAAACCAAAAAATTAAGCTGTTACAACTTACACGTAGCTGGCAATTTCAGTTGACCTAAAGTTTTGAGTATCAAGAGCTAGCTTAGAGAAGGGGGCTGGGGGGCAGTACATCTTTGAGAAGGGCCGGGTATAGCTCCAGGGTGGGGGAACATTACATATTTGAGGAGGGCTTGGTAGAGCTCTGGAGCAAGAATCCCCTTGATTCTCATCTCAGGATGTAAAAAAATAATTTTTTTACATCCTGAGATGAGAATCAAGGGGATTCTTGCTCCAGAGCTCTACCAAGCCCTCCTCAATAATTATTATTGTTCTTGTTGTTTTCCTTTACTAGTTGTTGTTGTTAATGTTATATTTTTGTTGGTTGATTAGTGAGATTTACCAGTCCAATCTTCAATTCTGAAGCCCAATGCAATATCTACCTTACTTATAATTTTTACCATCATCATTACAAGAGAGAAATATATGAAGTTCACTGAAATTTTGTTAATCTTCTATAAAATGCTCAGGAGAGCTTGCTAAGGATCCCAGCCATTGTGTAATTGTATCTCATGTAACATCTATCATGTCATTCAAAAGTGATGTTAAAAATACAAATAACTATAATTTATAAACAATGTAAGATAGATTTGTTTGAGAGAATTAGCAATTAGAACATATGGCTAGTTGGGAGAATAAAGTATTTGAACAAACATGTTGACCAGACCACAAAGTTAACCCTTTAAGTCCCACTAGTGACCAAGACAGAATTTCTCCTTACACTATCAGTACAATATCAAGCAGACAGGTAATGAGAATAAAGAAAAATATCAATTAGGGGATTATTTGTTGATCCAATACCAAATTCTCCAAATTAGAATCATGTAAATTGTATATCAAACAGTAAGGAGAATTACTAATGAGATCCTGGGAGTTAAAGGGTTAACCACTTACTTTGTTATGAAAGGAATCCTTCATAAAAGTTCAATGCTGAAATTAATCTCAGGCACAATGGAAATAACAAAATACCCTTTGACCTTGCCAAAGAAGAAACATTTCCATTCTTTAGGGGTCCATTTCACCACAGGCTATTTTCTTTATGATTCAGTTCAGTGAAAAAAACTTTTCTTGTGTCAACTAGTGCATCATAAATATTCATCTTAAACTCGAGCTTGTATTTTTTATAAGATATGACACTTAAATCTTCTTCAAGCCACTTGATTTTGACAGGTACCATGATGATAAATTCTATTATTCTAAGATCCTTACTAAAATGAGAGGATTTGTCTTGACTGGAAACTTGATCATTTTCAAGAATGAAGGATCCAGATTCAAAGATTGGGTTTCAAGTTTGATGTTTTAAAAAAATAATTGAAATTTTATTCCCAGGACATTGACAAAAGATTTCAAGAAACCAAGTCACTTCTTGCACAGCAATGGTATGGTTAACCACATACAAGAAGAAGGATAACATCAACTGTAAGATCTAATACTTGTGAAGAAACTAATTTGCATTTGGCTGAGAAGAGAAACTTTGAATGTCACTAAGGTGTAATTTTGTAGGAATAAAGGGGTACTGTGTTAGTGGAGGTTATTACAAGATATTTTGGTTTCATCAATTGAGTTTACAAAGTTATTCTTTAAAAGGCAATCTCCTTACATCTTAACCTTTAAAAATACATGTAACAACATGCCATAACCAATAACTTTACCATTGATCTTTTTAAACTCCTGATTGATTGACAAGAGCAAAGCCAAGTTAAGTGACCCAATACTGAAAGATCTGATAGTCTGAAATTAGAGAACCACTCCCCCACAATTGATAAAAACACTTTCTTGAAATGATTTTGCACCTATTCATTTATTCATGGCCAAATGGTAAGAGTGTTATATGAACTAGTAAGGCAGTTTATAAATGGTGAAGTGGTTTGCCTCCCACCAATTTCATTGCTTCAATTGAATTAGTTGCTTCACTGATTTCAGTTTTGTTGTCACTCTTACCTTCAGAGAGTGTAGCATCAAATCCCATGTCTTCAATCCCTGCACGTAAATCTTCTGGTGTTGTCACTGCCTCATCGTACTCAATAGCAGCTTGTTTGTCAGTAAGAGAGACTTTGATATTCTGTACTCCTGGCTTTGTAGACATGGTTCCCTCAATTGTTTTCACACAAGACATGCACGTCATTCCTTCAACGCCAATCATCGCCATTCGCACATCCTTATCAACATTGCAGACACCATCCCCAATCAAACTTGCATCAAATCCCATGTCCTCAATAGCTTCTCTCACTTGCTCCCCTGTGACTTTTCCAGGTGAGTAACGAACTTGGGCTGTCTTTGCTGCTAGGGACACTGAAATGGACTGAATGCCATCAAGCTGGGAAATGTTTTTCTCAATTGTCTGTACACACGAATTACAAGTCATACCATCAATGTTTATCATGACTGTCTGGACATCATTTGTTAAGGGAGGGGTGGGTGAAGGTGAAGACAAAGCTGCCTCAAAGCCCATGTCATCAATGGCCTCTCTTAGCTTCCCAGGGTCAGTCATGGATGCATCATAAGTAATGGTCGCTTCTTCATTCTTGAGTGAAACATTTACAACTTGTACACCAGGTTGCTTAGACATTCCTTGTTCAATGGTCTTCACGCAAGAGTGGCATGTCATTCCTTTCACAGAGATCTTTACCTCAGTATAACTCTTACTGCAGGAATTTTCCAGGCTTTCAATCTCCTTATTGTCCATTTTTCCATCCTCAGACAGAGCTATTTCATGTTGTGTCAAAACATCCACAATGCGCTTCAAAGATGTTTCAAATCCCATTTCCTCAATGGCATTTGTTAATGCCTTGCCACTGGTTTGCTTTGGTGAGTACATAATTTTTCCTTCTTTTTCCTCAAGAGACACTTCAATTTGCTTGACACCACTTAAATCAGAAATGTTTCCTTCGATGTTTTTAACACAAGAATTGCAATGCATGCCTTCTATGCCAATGTATGCAACTCTTAGTTCATCATCACTGAGTTTTGAAATGTCTTCCCCCTCCTCTGGAAAAGATATCCTTCCTTCTTTATCTTTGATGGCAACCTGTTCAGAAGAAAGAATAAATTATCCCTTGTCAACCATTTAATACCACCTTATTGTACCAGTACTTTCTGCAAATTTATTGAGCACATTTCATCAGACATTATTTTCATGATTTAGAAGGACAATTAAGTAGAAATTAATTACATTTGTGAAAGTGGAGAACCCAAGTAAGCATAGTAACAGCCAGTTCAACTGTATGGACACTTTTAAAGTCACAGAACAACTACTCAGATCAAAATATTCCCATGATTATCTTTCACCCACTTAAGGTTGTGTCATACATAACTGACCATCCTATAATTGCACAAGTAACTGAGCATTAAAAAAAATATTCATACAGCATTTGAATGGTAACAGTTCAATACTATTGATCATAATACAAGCCTTTGGCAAATATACATGGACACTATAATTCATGCTAGGATATTAAATTCTTGTGGCTAATTTTTGTGGTGATGTATTTTTGTGGGACTTATAGTTTATAATTTTCAATCAAATTGCAAAATTGCAAAACTGAAGACCCACCAAAGTAGTAACAATAAGGTCTGTGTAAGGACAACAAATAATCAGTTTTCCTCTTAACTCAATAGATGATCCATATTAACTAGTTCTAAGTCCTTTCATACTTCAAGATAGAGTCCAAAAAATCATTTCCTGCCTCAAGAAAAGGCATCTAGGGTGTTAAAGTTAAATATGGCCCTCTCAGCACAATGAGGTTCCTACCCCTTAGCCTAGTAAGAGCAAATGTACTTTAGAACAGGTACATGTAATATCAACAGAAATTTAACTCCCAGATAACACTCAACCTAGACCTGTGACAAAGCCTGGAGACTGATATACACAATAACAACAAAATCAGAGATAGATCTGGCATATCTATTTTTAAAGCAATTTTTTCTCTTGTTCTCTCAACTATACAACTGTACCTACCATACAGGAAGATATTGCGATTTTAAAGTTAAAAAAAGAGCCCCACATTTATAGGCCGGTAAATTTTAAAACTTAAAGCCATCAAGTTCTCTTGGACAACAAAAAGTACAAAAAGACTGGCAATAAATGTCATAAGATTTGACACTTGTTATGAGAGGTCACAAAAGGATCCCACAAATAATACTTCTGCTTGCCAGGATAGACAAAATTTAGATCAACAGGTACAAAAACATTGTTACAGGTACTTTTACTAAAGAAAATATGCCTTCTTGAAATTCTGAGAACACAAAATGCTGTTGAAAAAGGTTTCCTCAGGTCTGCTGTACTCATTACTAAGGGCTTTTACATCTGACAATGACATCAGCAAAAACACTCAAGAACAAAACCACACTGAAATGGTAAGAATTTCCTTTCTTTTTCTTAAATACACCTGAGTTGCCCTAGAAACAGAATTAAAACAAAGAAAACCAAATACACAAAAGAAAACTCAGTTGATATGAAAAGCTGTCTTTCTCCTTCATTCATGCACTATACAATATCAAATTATTACAGAGGGCAACTCTTAAAGATAACTTAAAAGCAAACTTGTAATGTGTAAAATATCGTTTAAAACCCTCGTGTTAGAATTTGAATATCTTGAAAGGATAAAGAAATCCATATTTACACTGATAACATCCAAGTTTTCTGAGTTCATGAAAATTGCCACAAAAACATGAAACACCACAAATCATGAAAACTAGAAGAGTGAAAATCAAAGTTTCCCACAAACTTAAAAAAAGTAACTTCCAAAACCAAATATTTAACAATGTGGTAGCTGGTTTCCGGTCAAAAACCTTTTAAATTCACATTATCACAAGGTTATACCCCAGGGGGTACAGGAAATAAAAATCCAAATAGCAATTCCATCTTCAAAATACAGAGAACATCAGAAGAGAAATACATGAATTGGAAAAAAAAAATCATCAAAAAGGGAATAGGGCCAAACTAGTAGGAAATAGCGTCTAACCACAAAATCTCAGTTGCCTTAAACTACCAAAAATTATTTCTTATACTTTACAATTCATTTATCCTCATATACCCTCCAAAAAAACAGCAACATTTCTAAAAATTTCTGAAATAATCATGCTAAGTGTACTCAGTTTGAATCACACTTACAAACTACATGTATCTACCACAGAAAAAGAAACATCCGGCTCTTTAAAATCAAACTATATCCTCCTCTAGTGTACTGAAGATAGATTTAACTTACACATTTAAATAAAGAAGCAATATTAGACAACAACAGATAGACAATTCTCACCAGAAAATTGAAAAAATTCAGAAGACTACCTCTTCAGCATAAAGCAAAAAAATAGAAAAGATTCCTATTATCCTTTGGCTCTCTGAATCAAACTTGAAATGGCTAACAAAAAGGACAGTATGTTGTCTTGTGGTGAAGGAAAACCTGACAACAGGCTAAATATTGGCTTTTAATTTTGACAAATATCTCACCATTGAATAAGGGGCAATTACATATGAAACATGAATATTTAACTTTGTGGTGAGATACAACCATCTGTGTTGATTTAAGCAAGAAAGAAAAACAACAAAGTTGTGAATTCTTTTCAGAGACATTTGTCACTAAGCCTTTCTGGTAACAGTTCAAAGACATCATCCAAGAAATACAGCATCCTTAATTGTTACTTGTGTTCTGAGATAGACATAAAGGAAGGAATACTAACAATCAGAATAATTGGGAATGATAAATTGTCTGTTAATCAGATCATTCTTGAGAGACACTTAAATGAAAAATGAATAATAATGAGAATTCTCACCAAGCTATGACAGAGATGAAAAGATTGCTACAATTGCTAGCAGAATTAATTGCCAAAAAACTAAAATCCTGGTTTGAAGGCACCACTAAAGTTTAATGTTTTAATCTAATCGTTATGTGTAATGTAAAAAAGTTGTAAGCAGGTCACGACTCTTCAATGAGTTGATAAGGTAAAAGGCAGTTTCTATCTTAAAAAAAGTGACCAAAGAATCAACAGTAAAAAAAATTCAGATGTGTTATAAAACTATCAGCCAGTCAAAACAGTTAAGAAATCCAGGTGTTTAAGGTCTGTTCAATTGCATTCAAATGTCCCCTCAATTTTTTGTAAAAAGCAAAATAAGCAATGGTGACTTTCTACACATTGACTAAGCTTTAAAACGTAGACCTTTCCTTCTGAGCCTCTTGCTCACAAAATGAACTAGTTTCTCCAACACCTCCATATTTAACAATATAACACTTGTATTCTGCTGGACTTGACACTTCAGGTTCAAATTCCCAACCCCACCAGGGCAAGGCTAAAAGTATCCCTCTCCTTAGCACAGACAACGGTCAAATGCCCAAGGGTTGACAGGGGAAGGGAGATGTTCAAGCTTCAAATTGATCAACACATAAATTAGGCAACCTCTTTACCACACTGTATAATGGCTTTCTAGGAGATCTACAAAAATATCATTTAAAGTCAAAATAAAAAATGTACTGTTAGGTGTTCTTGAAAAAGGAGAGAATTTGTCAAATGATATACAAAAGGAAATCACTTAAGTAAAATGCATGTTTAAAGAACAAAAAATCTTCCTATTGTTCTACTTTGACTTACTCTTTCCACACTTTTCCACTTCATGAACTATATGCTATCTCGTTTTCTCTCATTGTGATGTTTTTATTTTTCGTTCATCCTGGATTCTTCATAATTAGCTTTATATAAACTTGTCCATATAGACTAATATTGGCTACCCATGGACCATGTCAATTGTCTTCAGAAAATTTGCATTTATAAAGTTTTGTTGCTGACCATGCAGACCAAGCCACTAATTAGATGAGCAAAGGGTTTACAAATGGAATCTTAGTGAACAGAACTAAAGATTTATCACATGTGATATATCTTTATCAACAAAACTACAAGTTTCAACTAAGGAGAAACAAACTGAAAAACAGACTTCTCTCATGAAGTTCATGGAACACTACAGAAGGACAATAATAGGGACTAGTACCAAACTGCAGCCGTTTTGAAACTTCCTAAATGTTAAAAATGACAACAAAGTCATTCCATTTGTCTGGTTCACAAGCCTATTAATCGTTCATCTGTTATGCTTTTCATCATTACCAGCTGTACATCTCAGAAATCTGATGAATCTTTTTAGGGATGTAAAATAAACATCCAAGATCACCAAATTCTTTGGTTGCTGCACTGCATAAATGTCCAACCAAGTCATTTTCTTTTTATTCACACGTTGAATACGTTCTCCTGTAAAGAAAATCAATTTCCCCCTTCTGTATTTCTTTAAAAAAAAAAAAAAAAACCTGATCCATCTTAACCACTAGTATGCCCAAGAAATGCACTCACAAGTGATAATTTATTTCTTGCTATATGTGAACCATTATCCCAAATGGCTTAAATTTCTCTCAATGGGTTTTCACAGACATCTGAACTTCCAAAACTGTTGTTTTGTTCAATTCTAATATTTTACAGTGATTTCATAAATGTTGAAATGCTGCATGCTTGATCGATCTGTATATTTAAATTACTCAATTAATTGATCCATTTTACTAACTTCAAGATCATCCCCTTGTGTGTTGGAATTACGCATGCCTTTAGATAAAATGTTTCAGTATCTGAAAATACCTTAGATTATTTATAAGACTGTCTATATGCACCAGAATTAATCATGCGAAACTAGAGTCTTCATCCTCCTGAAATAAATTGAGCTTACGAGTGTGTTATGCTCATACACCATGAAACTTGGTTGATTGCTATTATTTATCTAAAAACAGTTAAGGTACGTGAGCTAAATTCGAGGTACACTTTGACAGTTATCAAATAAATAACACATTTGATGCAGCCATAATCTCTACCAAGTTGAACTTATGCCCATTTAGTTCATTAATCATTGTAGGAAACGCACGTACAACTATTTGCATCACGATCAGTAAATCAAACGTAGCGCAAAAATGACTTTCAAAATCCATCCAAACTTCCATTTAGACTTAACTTAGCCCTCACCTGAGGATCCATTGCGCGGAGAAACCTTGGTCGCAGGATTTGGATTAAAAATTACCGGACCAATAAGGGAACTTCAGTAAGCTTCAGCTTATTTCCCTCAACAAAAATTATCGCCGTGCCCAAGGAAATAAGTGTCTTGATATTCGAGGATTGGGTTATTCGCTCTTATGTGTGATGGATTGTACTAATACTCCACAAAATAACAGAACAATTAATATTGGATTTTTCACGTCGTAACGACGGAGGAAATGTTTTCGTCACGAAAAGAAAGACATAATTCCTTCCCCTTCGGCTGAATCCGCCATCTTGATTCGTGCTTTCACAACCGGTCACGTGATATGAGATTTTTTAGTTCTCATGGATTACTTATTACTTATCAAACCTGAAATCTTTATTTACTTGTGGAAATTACCCAAAAAACACTTACCCTGCTTCATTATGCCCTCATCTTTAACATGTGACATAGAACTTCGAAAAGCGAAGTACTTATTAAGTCTCTATTTTCATGTAATGAGATGCAAATAAGTGGAAGTCTGAATACTTCATGCTCACAGTCTACCCCTTCCCCCCAATTAAAGAAAATAATTTGAAAATAAATACTCACGTCCCAATATAGCAAACGAAATAAGCCACCTCGAAATACGCTAACACTGACAAAAAAACTTTCCGAAAGACAGTGTTGGGAACAAAAGCCCTCCAGAAGCCGTTAAGGGTCATGTCATATCTATCCGATATTTTTAATTTTCAGAATGTTCAGTAGTACAGGGTTTCAGAAACCTTCTAAATCAACATCAAAACTTTTAGTTCATTTGAAGAGCCGAAAATGAACGTAGATAAAGAGTTCTTTCGAGAATAGGGCGCGGTCATCCGCTCGAACAGGGTAATCGTTTTAAAAATTCATAGTTGTTGTTTGTGTTCCACTGAATGCTTTTGTGCACCTAAACAAAAAAATAATTTGCTTCTTATAAGTTTCATATCAAACTTAGAGAACAAAGCTGGAGGTCACATGTCAAGGCTAGTATCAACCCTTGTGAGCATTTAGTTCAAAGTCTGCGACAGCCATTCAAATTTCATCAGAAAGTGAATGATCTAATTCCATCATCGCTTGACGTACTGCAAATTTATTTTAATGATAAATGATTCGCCTCGTGAACATGATTTCAACCCTTTTTCGTTACGATTGATCGACGCTATTCAAAATAAATCGTAATTGCGTGACATAGAAAATTAATGACATGAAGTTTTTATTTTGCAAGTACAAAACGCTGTCAGCTAGTCAACGCAAATATTTCCGCCACCTAACCATTTACGAGTCATGCTTCAAGTCCAGATATTAAGGGTTATCAACAATATCGATCAGTTGGCAGAAAACTGCTGTGAAAATCAAATTTCAAAAAGCATCCAATAAGGAAAGCAGAGTGGGTGTCTGAAATCATGACTGGGAAACCTTTTGTATATTCATGCTTGTGTAATCCATGCCCGTTTTATATTAAGACAAGCGTAATTTAAAAAAAATCATAAGTCACCCAAATGTAAGAATTATCTTATCCAACTAAACCCATTTTATGATTCACTAACATTTCGCGCAACGCTACATTTGAATTTAACTTCTAAAGTCAGTGTGATTAATTTCTGTATCTCTCACCTTGTTATCTAAATATCGCTCAGAAGACATCTCATCGAGTTTCACCAGCGAATGTGTCTCGTTTCCCGCTTGAAAATACTTATTCCTCACCGAATATCGAAAAGTAAACGAGAGAAGCGCTCATCAGTTTTCTACAAGGAAGTTCTGTGAAGTAATAGGATGAGAGGTAAAATTATATTGACGAAGATCCAAGGAGCAAAGGCGCACAAACCTATGGAACACAACTACGGGTGTTGTATTTGTGAGTGCTTGTCTACGTGCCACGTTTTGTTTCCCTCTCACGGCCCGTCCTAATTTGGATCCTTAACGTAATGCTGACTCATCGTCACATGACATACCGCAGATGCACCTCTCATATTTCTAGTGGAACTGGGTACTTCTCTTATTTGGGGCCTGGATGCAGATAATTTTTTCCCAGGTCTGGTCCTCGAACATAATATTCCTTGCTCTCGAAAGAGAGACCAGGAGACTGATTTCCCGTACAGCAGTTGTTTTATCGAATATTGATCAGAGTCACCTCTCTCGTTTTTGACGAGTCTAGTCTTTCTAAAATTGACGGTGTGTATGATAGACAAGCGGGACCTCGGCGAAAAAAATTATTCTGTCGTCTTTTCATCAGGACTTCTTTGGACTCATGCCACGAATTACGTCGGGGAAAAATACGCCACATACTAAGAACATTAGAGAAAATGTAGCACGCTCAATGAACTACGGGCCTTCTTCCCTAGCCTGCGAAGGGTGGAGATAGAAACCCGCACGGAGCCCACACGGCACAAAAGTTTCCTATCTCCAGTTTTCCCGACCGAGCTCAGGTGACGTATACCATCATCCTTTATTTACAAACACCTTCCATTTATGACAAGGCAGAAAACTTGCTGACAAACGTATTCGAACGTTTTTCGAGCACATAGGATTGCCTTATAAAACTCACAGTGACACGTGGTTTTCATTTTATTCCTGTGCAAGTGATCGATCAGTTTGTATCAGTAATTCTCACTGTATTCTAGTGGAACACAAGAAAAGAGATGGCCCTCTCGGTGAAGGCATATTTGAACCCAGAAACCAATCAGCAAGAAATTCGTCGTTTTGCTATCGACGAAGGTGCCTCGGCCAATTTTGCCTATTTGAGGCAGAAGATCGAGCAGGTCTTTCCATCCGTCAGGGGCAAGGTGTTCAAATTGTTTTGGAAAGGTAAGATAATCGGTTTTCTGTTAATTCGCTTTGCACGCTCGATCTCTTGTGACTGGAAATGTCGAGTTCTCTATGTTTTGTACCAGTACAAGTTTCACTTAAAAGCTGTTTTCTTAAACAGGGACAGATACAAAGTTTGGAAGAACAAATTTCCTAAAGATTTTAACCAACAGACTAAAGGATAGAAGGGCCGATGCCAATTCTTATATCTGTTTTTATTCCAATGTTTTGTTATGTAACTGAATGTACTCCATATTTTTCTCTTCGTAGATGCCGACAACGAGATGATAACATTTTCGAGCGATGAAGAGTTGGTGGAAGCATTGGGAAGTATCAGTGGCGATGTGTTTCGTGTGTTTGTGAAAGGTGGTGAACCGGACGCCAGTAATGATGGTAAGATGTTATACTTTTTCCATCTGTTTGTTTTCCAACTGACCGATCGAAAAAACTAAGCCTCGAGCTTACTGTCGGATACAATTATTTTTTCTTGCACATTCATCAAGAATGTTTTCCATACAGTAGGTGACGTGGCAGGTCCAACTAAGTAGGTGTGAAAGGGAAATCTTTTTGCCTGATCATCATGAGCCAGCAGTTACACTGAATCCCGTTTACTGCCAGTTAAATTTTTCTTTTCGTCTTTACTTTTTTCTTGTGACTGTTGACATATTTTTATAAGGATAAACACCAACATTACTAAATTTGCATTGATTTTGTTGACCTTTATATTTTTCAGAGGACTCAGCTGAACAACAGGACTCTGACACAGCCCACCCTGGTGTGGTGTGCGATGGTTGTGAGAAGCACATCTTTGGGATCCGGTTCAAGTGTGTGGTTTGCCCAGACTTTGACCTTTGCATGACCTGTGAGACTAAAGGAATGCATAAGGAACATGAGATGCTACGTATTGCAACACCAAGAACTCCTGGAGACAACTGGTTCCGTGGCTTCAACCCATTTGGATTTGGTCATCCACCTCACCACCCCCCACATGGTCACTCACCTCACCACCCCCCTCATGGTCATCCACCACACCACCCCCCTCATGGTCCTCCTCCTCCTCATGGAATTCCTCCCTATCAATTTGACTTTGGACGTGGATTTGGCCCGTGGGGACGTGGATTTGGCCGCAGAGGGGGTCGTGGTCGTTGTGGCAAAGCCAGAGGCCGTTGCAACAGTGGTGGAAAGAAATGTGATCGCCATACAGAGGCCAACACTGGAGAGGTTCCTGTTGGACCGCCCTTTCTTCATGCCGTTGGAGAGACGATTGCGTCATTTCTTGGGCCTCTGGGTGTAGAGGTGCACACATATGCAAGTACTGAGGAAGGTATGCATTTACAGAAGCCTTGCACGTCAACTGGATTGCTTGACTTCATTAGTATAGAACATGTTTTGATTTTGGCTAGAGGTTGTTATAATTCCTAAATAAGTGAACAAATAAAAAGTTATGAGTGTTATGAATTAAATTTTGGAAACTTCCTGTGGGATAAATAGCCTTAACTTCAGGATTGGAAAAGATGATTTTGTTCATAGCTTTGGGTACTAAGGAATAACACTCACATTCTTGCATCACAGATTTCTGGGAAATGTTTAAAGAAACAATTAATTGTGAATGGGGAGGAAATGCTGTGTTTCTTTAATGTCATGATTCTGATTATAAATGCAGATTGTTGTCAAGGCAGATGTCAGGAAAGTGACCAACAACCTACTGCAGATACTGGTCCTGCTGAAGAATTCACAGAACCAACAGTTAATGATGGCATGAATGAAAGTGCTCCAGGAAATGTCACACAAACAAATGAAAAAGAAACCTCTGCAATGGTTAGGAAATCACTTTGGGACAATTTATCACAATCTAACATATTTTCTCGATATGAAAAATGGATTAAGTTCACCCATATAAGTGGTGGTGCATGCTGAAATACTAGACTTGGGAGATGCCAAACCCTGTGTTAGTAAATTTTCTTAATCATTACAGCAGTACAACTCCTCTTCATTGTAACTGCATGACTTGGGTTATGGTAGGAATCTATAAATGACAGGAAAATATGTTACATTCAAGTTGCAATGATCTGTCAAGCATGCATTTTTGGGTTATGTGGGTTTCCACATCCCAGTGTTCTTAAATAGCAGCAACCGTGCATAATTTGAGGATGGAAAAAAAAGCATGACCCTCCACTTTTCAAAGTACTTTCTGCCACCCCTTAGATCTGAAAGGCACTTACCCATCCATGGATGGGGGTATGTGCTGACATATTTGTACCTCATGAAACTGCCAGCTGTAATTACTTGAGTATAAATAACCTAAGTGTGTTTTTTTAGGATGTCCAGCCTCCAGAGGAGTTTGTTTTGGTTGATGAGAATGCTGAGACACAAGAAGGAGCCTCTGGAACAGTTGATGAAGAAGTCCCATCTGACCCTCTGGAGGTAGCCATAGCAAAGATGCGTGCAATGGGATTTGAAGATGACAGTGGCTGGCTGCGGCAATTGATAACTACCAAGGGTTATGATCTCAACAAAGTCCTTGATGCCATGCAGTTTGAGGGGAAGAATTGATGGACATCTCACAGTGCATCCTGCCTAATATGTAGCCAATTGTTGTTGTTTTTTGTGTGGTAATTTTTCAGTTTAATTTAGCATGTACTAAGTTTGTGGGAATTGCTAACCATTGGAATCATGCATATGAAATGTCAACTGCATAGAACTGTTTCAAAAAAATTAGACAGATCTGGTATCTGGGAGCCTTCTGGAAACTAAATGATTGTATAGCCAAATGTATTAAGTTTTAATTTTTAAGTGATAATTACAGAAATTTAGAAAAAAATTTTCTGGTGCCTTTTGGAATAGAGGCCTTTTCCTCTCAGGATTTGTAATTTCTTCTGCTGTAGTAACATTGAGAGAAACATGAATAGGAGGAGAAATACCTTCAAGACCAGTTGAATGTTTTTGCCATTCAAGAGGTTCAATTTTTTTTTTTAGTGAAAATTATCTTTTTTTCTAGTTCCCTCATAAGATTACCAAATAATGTTTGTTACAGTTAATTGCCAAGGGAGGAGGCAACTTCTTGCTACTTTGTCTAAATCTGAAGTTGACATTTCATTTATGGCCTTTCATGCATTCAAAAGGTGTTTTGGATTTTGGATTTTGATGAGTTCAATTCCATTGTACAAAAGTTCCTTTGTTTTTATTGGAGGTGAATCAAATTTTGAAGAGTGAAAAAAAAACCCATTGTAGAAGGGTTCAAACTATTTGAGTGAAGATTTTGGTTGTGGTTAATAATTATTCAATGTGCTTGATGGTTGTGTCATGTAACTGAGCAGTAATAGCATTGTAACGAGCAGTGATGTGAAAATAAACTTCTTAAATGATGAGTAATGTTGAGTGGTCTTGTCTACAAGTAGCATGGTTGCATCTGAATGTCGATAAAAGCCCAACATCAAACAATTTTTTTATGGGGCACCAATCCAGTCAATATTCCCTCAGTCTGTATTTGTGTGACCTTGTTCACTTTTTATACATTCAACTTTTTACCTTTCATATGGTCAACTAAAGTTTTTATGCAGTCAACCTTTTACTTTTAATAAGATCACTTTTTACTTTTTTTCACCTTGACTTCACCTACTGTGAAGGTAGGCATGATCTTGGAATTGGTGCTCTGTATCAGAAGCTTCAAGACATTCAACACTTTGCTCTTGCGCTTCACAATCAGGTCAAGACCACAGTCATAAACAGTTAGTTTTAGTCTGCATTTTACCCTCAGTCTGCACTTTATTAGTCTGAAGTCTGAAGTCTACAGTCTACATTTTACATTGACCAATATAAAAAGTATAAAGTTGACCATATGAAAAAAGTTGACCATGTAAAAAAGTCAACTTTACCATATAAAAAGTAAAAAGTTGACCATATGAAAAGTAAAAATTGACCTTATTAAAAGTAAAAAGTTGACCACATAAAAACTTTAGTTGACCATATAAAAAGTAAAAAGTTGACCATATAAAAAGTTGAATTGACCATGTAAAAAGTAGACTAGGTCACAGAAATACAGACTGAGGGAATATTGACTGGTTTGGCACCCCATAATTTTTTATTACTGCAAGAAGTTTTTATGATTTGATACTGGAAGTAAAAGCACAACTTCTACCACCACACACAAAGGGAGATTTAATTTACATTTTTACAATGATACTCATATGTACAATGTAGAAATAGTCGATTGTGTAGTGCATGCCAAGCACATTATGTAAAATGTAAACTTTCTGTATCTTAATACCTAAAAAAAAAACAAAACAGTCACTGGTAACAAACCCTTCAATTTAACAGAGGAATGATGAATTGTGACAAGAAATAAATAAAGCAGCCTGCCATTCTCATAACACTCTGTTTAAAGATTAGATGGTCCGGCAAATTAGTCACATCAAAAGGGAATCTTTGTTCATTTGTAAGAAAATAGGATCACTTTGCCAAAGGTTACTGACTGGAGTACACTGACCCATTCTTCAGCAAAATCTGGTGTGACTCCCAGTGGACCCTTGTTCTGCTCACACTCAGTTTGAATGAATTATATCTCACAAGTCATGTATACATTTATCTTTTTTTGTTTCAATGTTCTTTTGCAAATACTTTACTCTGTTGGTTGACTTTCAAGATGGTCATCTTTCCCATTCTCTCCTTCACTTGTCACCCCTGAATCTGATCCACCATTCATTTGCACATCCTTGGTTTCTCCTTCGGCAGTAGGGTCAGTAGTTCTAGTTTCCTTGTCACCCTCCCCCTCAACTGAGTCCTCACTTTCTCCTGTACCCACAACACTGCTTGGCTGACTTCCTTCATTCTCTTCACCCTCTTCATCACCAAGAGTTGCTTCTTCTGAGAAAGTGTCCCATCTTGAGCTCTTAAAGTCAAGCAGTCTTTGTATATTACTCTTGCTAACCTGATCCATACATTGAGAGTAGCCTGCAAGAAGAGTGTGTGCCAAAGCAACTCCATATTCCACTCTTGTTGTTTCAGTGGTTTCAACTGCAGCCAGATCCTGAGCTATCTCAAAGCCTCTCCTGTACATGCGCACAGCATCTTCATACTTTCCCTGAATAAAGGAAATAAAGGGAACTTTTGTCAGAAAATCATGATGCTATATCTGTGGCCGCTGAATATTGGCTGGTTTCCTTCCAATCACACCTCACAAATAGCAATAGATGGATAAGGCTAGCTAGCAGCTCAGTTCATGTATAAGGCTCAAAAAACTATTTGCACAACTTTGGAATAGCTAAAGAAAATAAAGGATATTGAATGAATAATAAAGTTCAAATGTGCCATGCACAGGTCTCTTGTCTTACCAGGGAGTTATAAATAGAACCAAGACTTGTACAAGCTCTCTGTTGTTCTGGTAATTGCTGAGATCGATCAGCCAACTCAACAAACATCTCAAGATACTTCATAGCACTTTCCACATCTCCTTGCCTGTGAAAGGAATCAATTATACCCTTGCTTACACACACCCAAAAACTTAACTTAAACAAATAAAAAATTCAGGTTGAAACTTCTTTAAAGTGATGGTTTATTTAATAGCAAACATTTGCCAAATTGTATATCTGCTACCTTGCTAGTGCATGTTTTGGAAAATTATTAGACAAAATAAAAGAACTTACAACTCATAAGCTCTTGCTAAGGCCTGACAAGCTCTCCCCATTCCAACATCATCTGTGTTCTGCTGGCATTTCTCCAAGTACCCATTATGATACTAAAAAATATATCAAGCATGATAATTAGCTATCTGTAAACTGAGTTGCCAGTTACACCATTACACCAAGACAAATTATCTTACTGATGAAACCTCTCTTATTTCTTACCAGAATGGCTGTTTCAGCATCTCCAATCTCCTCATAAGCACTTCCCAAGCGATAGCCAGCCAAACCTTCTTGTTGACTATCACCACCTATCACAAAGCCAGAATCATAGAAGTTTGTTTGTTTGATTTTACAGATGGAAATGGAAATTGCAAGATCATTTATCTGCCTAAAAAAAATATTATTATGGGCATTAAAATATATCAGTCAAGAGGAAGGGAGACAGACAGGCAAACAGCAAAAGAGAATGCTCCTGGAATTTTCAGACTTACTTTCTTTTGCCATTCCATATGCTTTCAGGAGATATTCTATTGACTTCATCAAGTCAACCTCTTTAACCTATGAAAATTGAAAGAAAAATCACAGATTGGAAATAAATAGAACACGTTACATAGTAGATCTATATTCACTTCTGGTTTAATATCAGAGATCCAAGTCAAATTTTCCAGCCTAAGATATTGTTTGCACTATACCTCATCTGCCATGGTTGTATACACTCTCCTAAGGTGTCCACAAGAGAGTGAATGTAGATTTTCTCCATCATCTGTCTGCCACAGTCGCCCTTTAGTCAAGTTGTAAAATGATTCTAAATACTCTGCTGCTTTGAACAAGTCCCCTGTAAATAAAAAATCATGAATAAGTTACCACTAACAGCATTATTGTACACACTCTAGTTTGTCTTTGTTTGCAAAACTTAATATATTTTTATAATTTTAATATATTTTTTGAAATAACATATTTCATAAGCTTTAAGACAGGGAAACCATAAAAAGAATTGATCTAAACATCAGATGTTGTTGGACCTTGTCTTTTGATCAACAATTTTACCTCTTTTCTCAGAGGCCAATCCCATGTTGCAGTTAGCCTCTGATTCCTTCCTTCTTCCATCTCCTCTAATCTTCAGACTTGTCTTCAAACAAGAGCCATAAAAGTGATCTGAAAGCCAAAAGTCACCAGCCTCTTCAAAGAATCTTGCCAGGGCCAATAAGCTGTGATAAACTTGGTCCATCTTGCCTAAAAATTAAAGGGAGAAAAACAAGCAATAGTTAATTTCATATCTTCATGATATCTATACCAATGGTGGATATCAGTACATCACATATTTGTAACTCACCCCTTCTCTTTGCTGCCTCTGCTGTTGTTAGATGATATTTCAGTTGGTCGAGTTTCTCTGGTTGATCTTCTAACAAAGGTTGATCAGACAGACCAGAGTCTGCTCCTAAACTTTTTATATCTTGTTTCTGTTTCTCCATCAAATTAAACAGCTCTTGAAATGACTGATGGAAACCTTCTTTCAACATGTCAAGGCAAAGATTGTGCTCATAGGTATTCCGATACCTGCCACAACAAAGATTTATGATTAGTACAGTCGACAGAAGCACATATCAGTCTCTCAGCGAGTTACTACACTTGTGCTCTAAATCAATACAAATATCTCTCATGACTGGTAACTCCCACACATGTATGTACATACCTCGAAGTGTCAATCTTTTCATAACTAGCTGTTTTCTTCAGATCAGAAGGAGGACTCCTTACAAAGGAGCCTTCTGGTCTTTGTATTCCTCTGCTACTTCGTAATGGACTTCCTAAAGAGGAACCTTTGGCTGGTGGAGATGGGACATGTCGAATGACCTGCTGAGTGACCTGGCCACCAACTTTGATAGGAGGAAGCGCAGTAGCCAGTGAGGTCATCTTGAGTTCTGAAGAGGTCTTCTAAATGTTAGTACTAGAAAATGAAAAGGCCTGCTTTACTCCACTTAAAACACAGAGACATATGCTGACATATGTGTTTTGATGATTGGACTTACAGCTAGGACCAGGAAAATGAGGCTACAAAGAGGTATTTAACCCTTCACACCCTAACATCAGTATGCATATTCTCCATACTGTTCTCTACACTTTTTTTAACTAGCTGTCAAGAAGAACTTGTTTAACAATCAAGAGCATCTTTAGTTGGAGTTAGGAATTGGATGCAAGTCACTCTTAGGGGGTATAGGGGTTTAAGAAAACCTCGACAGTGGTGATGTATTGAACACAAATATGAATAAATATTTAGCATTGGTCAGGTACCAAATACAATTATCACTAAACTGATCATCAAGTACGCAAGAGAACTAATGTAATGTAAAATTTTAAAGCATAGAGTAGCTCTCTTTTTGCTTAGAGGACCAATTTAGGTCGAGATGATTTTGAACTTAAATGGCAAGTGTAACCCCACAATAACTTTGAATTTGTGGTCGAGTGTACCGATTTAATTACATTCACCCATTCTATTTCATAGTTTGAAATATGAATAAAACACAGTGGTTCAAGAGCCTCTACACAAGAGACTTCGAAAGTAACTTTCAGGACTTCGGTCTTGCCAATCCTTCTAACCTGCATTGTTAAATAAAGATGTATATATGTATGTATGTATGTCGACGGCCTCAGGTAGTGAGGTGTCAAGACTGACAAATGCCTAAGACTTTAAACACCCGCACAAAATAGTCAACAATCTGTCCCCAAACACTTGCCTTCTGGTGGATCAA